CCCCCGGCCGCCGTTAAAGTCGCCGCGGCCCCCACGACCGCCCCGCCCTTGAAAGTCACCGCGGCCACCACGGCCCCGCCCTTGGAAGTCGCCTCGGCCGCCACGTCCTCGTCCTCGCCCACCGTAGGGGTGTGTGACTTGGCGAGCGTTGTAGGCTTGCCGATGCTCGCTCTGTGGGCGAGACGGCTTTCGAGTCATATTGATCTTGACCTCTTGGCCATCGATCAGTCGAGACTCCGCCGTCAAGGCCAAGGCAGCGGAACGGTTGTCTTGGTAAGTCACAAAACCAAAGCCAAACTCCTACGCCAGCGTAATCAGCCTTCGTCGACAGATAACGGTTGCGTACGCTGCCTTCCTTGGGCTGCAGCACCAGGTGAATGTTGCTGATGACGCCAAAGGCACTCATTTCCGACTTGATCGTCTCTAACCAGAAAAGAACGTTAGTATTCCTCGACGCAGTTCTGGTCATACGCTCCGTCATGGTTGGCAGAAGATTCGAGAGATGGACGCCGCTGTTGGGGTACGTCGCCTCATGGTGGCTACACAACGCTATAAGAAAGCGGCAACCGGAGCAGTGCTACGATACCTCACCATCACCGGGTCGAGCGACGGCGGTGCGGGCGCAACAAGCACGACGGTCGACAGGATCTCGTGCTGGGGCGCGGTAAAGATGCGATTGAGCGCCTAATGCAGCATTGAGTCTTGATGACGCAGAAGAGGACGATTCCGACCGCTACGTCGGAGAAGGCCACCGTGGCGCTCGGCGCAGCGAGAGTGCACGCGGCGATGGAGCCAAACTCGTTGAAGTACGTGCGGAGGTCGCTCTAGCTTGCAGGTTGTAGTACCGCCATGCTCCAGATTGTACCTCGGTCGCCGTCAGCGGGAGGTGAGAGAGAACGATCTCGGGGGCTTGGGTCGAGTCTGCGGCAAACGAGATGCCGAGATATCCCCGCGTGTACGTTTCGAGTGGCGTCGCTGCCTTCTTGGCAGCCACGGGGACGGGCGCCGGAATGGGCGATTTCGTCACCGGAATGTAGTCGTCGTCATCCTCGTCGACTTCGCCGTCCTCCATCTCGTCGCTGTCGTCAGCACTCGGCTGTTGGTCGGGATCCTTCTCTACATGCTCCTCGGGCGCGACAATGGCCTCCCTTGCCTCGGGCGACGTGATGACCGTCTCTGGGGACGTCTCCTCCGTAGTAGTAGCTACACCATCATGCTTCTCTTCCTCCATCTAGTAGCAGCGCCGAGATGACCCGTTGGGCTCGGCAATAGGACTGGTATTACCTTGGCCATCGCTCGCCAAGTTGCAAAACGCCCACAGCTCCCACGGTTGTGGTGATCCCCAGGTCATTTTATTCACAACCAGATATACAAATAACGAGTGATATTTTTCTTGAATGCAGTTTTGGAGGCCGCTGATTGGTCCCTGCCCCACACGCATATAAAATAAATATGATAAAATAGAAATCCACTGCATTGAAAAAGGTTGTAATACACCATGCAGTATGCTGGGGCTTGGACTCCAAGTGGAAGTAGGGTTTCTTCTCTTTCAACGACATGCATTGGAGCACCGAGTCAACATGCGCTAGGAAGAGGACAGGTCGCTTGGAATTGAACTGGCCGGGCGCACTCGAGACGGCCCACTCGTTTTTGTGCCGGCAAATCGCTTTCGCTAACCATTCAAAGCACTGTGGTGCTGTAATAGTACGATTTTGCGTGTACTTTAGCTTCTGCTATTGACCGCACGTTGATCATGCTGCGGTGGGATTTTCATGCCGAGCAATGAGACAAGGTGCTTCGACTGGCTCCCCCAATCTGAGAGGGCCTGGGACCTCCACCTGGTAACATGCAATAGTATGCCCTGGCTACCGCATTCGATACTCTAGTGTAGGAGCTCAGTATCAAGGGTACTTGATCTCTATCAGTATTTACCGACATCATCCACAGTCTCTCGGGTGTGCCAACGTCATACGCTTGGCGCCATAATATTGTATGCTGGAGTCTCCGTATAAGCTCGCGCACCTAAAGTTCGGATCCAAAACGGGCACAAAGATCCACGCCAAGCGTCGCGGCCACGCTTGATTTCATTTGTGTTTGAGAGCGTAGCGCAGCAGCAAGCAACGAGAAGACCATGGTTGGCTTTGCATGCAATATGGGATTCCAATACTATGCTCGGTAGATCCGCTTCTTCCTTTTGCAGAACCGCCAGGGCAAAACGCGCCTGAGCAAGTGGTACGTGCCACCGCCGCCGGACCTCGAGAAGCCGCGCCTCGAGTCCGAGATTCACCGTCTTGTGGTCGCCCGCGACGCCAAGCACACCAACTTTATCGAGTTCCGCTCGTACAAGCTCATCTACCGACGCTACGCAGGCCTCTTCTTCATTCTCGGCGTCGACTTGCACGCGAACGAGCTCCTGTGCCTCGAGACGATCCATCTCTTCGTTGAGCTCCTCGACCAGCAGTTCCAGAACGTCTGCGAGCTCGACATTGTCTTCAACTTCAACAAGGTCTACTCCATGCTCGACGAGTACATCCTTGGCGGCGAAGTCCAAGAAACGAGCAAGCGCGAGATGCTCGACCGCATCCGCGAGCTCGAGAAGCTCGAGTAGTGCATAATGACGAAGTACAATGATTCTTCCGTATCACCACAAGCGCCATCGACATAGCTCATCAACGCAGCACCCCACTTAAGCCGTTAAGGGTGAGGAAGGTATCCGTGGACGCCGTCACCACTGGTTCGATCTCGATCGAAACCTGAAGTAGTGAGTAGGGCTCGCTGCTTGACTATGATTCATAGTCCCTATACCGGGTGATGGAAGGCGTCCTAAAGAGGTCGAGAAACACGAAGCTGGGGTCGATTCCTGGTCCACACGGAAGCAAGAAGATACGTGCTATTATTGAGTACCATCATCGTCGAGAGGTAAGAAAGCTAGCACACGCCACCCGAAGTCAATCATCCAAAAGTCGATTGTTTAAGCGGACTTTTCGGCCTTCTTCTTCGAGAGCTTCTCGAGGAGGACCTTCTTGACGATCTTCTGCTCCTCGATAAGGAAGGCACGGACGATGCTACAATCGAGGATGAGCATACAGGACGACAGTACGAAAGGGTCGCGTACCGCTGGCGCACGCAGCCGGCGCAGCGCGAACCACCGTAGGCACGCGAGACCGTGCGCTGGCTCTTCGACACGTTCTTGTAGGCCTTCGAGGCGAGGTGCTTGATGCCCTTGAGCGACTGCTTGCAGTCACCGCACTTGGGGCCCGACGACGTCTTCTTGCGGTAGTGGGCGATGAGCTTGCCACCGGGCGTCTTCACCGGCACGATGCGGTTCGACTTGGTCGCGTACGAGTGACGGCGACGGTAGGTGATGCGGACGTTCTTGACCATCTTACTTATCTTCTTGAATTGGCAGAGTAATTTCACCGGCGCCTACCAAACGCGCCTACTGGCCCCGACACAACCAACCATTCATTCCACACCTCTTGGCTCCACTATGCAAGCCAATCAGATTCAACCTCGCTTCTCATTGGTCAAAAATGACTGTCCGGATAATACCCCACAAATAGATGCAATCCGTCGACCACCTCTGGCATTACATAATTGCAATGATGGCCACCAGCGACCGTCGCATGACAGGCGCCTACCCACCGCGAGCACCGAGTTGTACACGAAATCCATGGCCAAAGCGCAACGAGATGTATGCATGCGTGTGAGGAAGCTCGGCAGTTGGACTCGCGATGTTTCCACTCTGCCGATAGAGACAGCTCCGTGCCGTAGACGCTCTCCTGGAACAACACGACGAGAACGAGCAACAGTGCAAGCTCATATACACGGGTGCGGCTAGGCGCAACCATGATGTGCAGATACTGCGAAGTGTGCTCGAGGCGAGTTGCCTGCTTGCAATCGAGCCCACGCACGGCCCATCGCAATGCCTGAGCGAAACTGAACGGCGGCACCACGAAGGGCAGCACTGAGAGGGCCCGAGATAGAATTGTATAGCTGGCGTTGGACACGACGACGCCACGAGTCGCAAGTACCGTCAGCAGTCTCGGCTCAATGACTCTTGATAGCCGCAGTGCATGGAAATGACGGTAGTCGCGGCGACGAACGAACCAAAGATGACGGCGCACGCACCATGCGGACATCAACGCCTCGCGGTCATCTCCATGCACAGACCGTAAACGCGGGCCAAATGAAATAATTGCAAGCTGAAGCTGACTCGATACTGGAACCAAGATAAATATCGCATGTCGCGAATGACAAAATCCTCTGATTGCGTCATCAATTGCTTGCCGCTGCCACAGGTCGCCATTTTGCGATCCATCATGGACCTCGAGCTACGTGATGGGCACTTCTACGACGCGGACGGGCGTGTGCTGCTTCTCAAGGGCGTGAACCTCGGCGGCTCTTCCAAGCTTCCTCTTGACCGTGACGATGGCGCCTTGTCGTTCGTGGGCCGGCCGTTCCCGCTCTCGGAGGCGCGTGAGCATTTTGGCCGGCTTCGGCGCTGGGGCCTTACGTGCATTCGGTTTGTAATCACATGGGAGGCGATCGAGCACGCAGGCCCTGGCGTGTACGACCGCGACTACTTGCGCTACCTTCGCGACGTGCTTCTCATCGCCCGCGAGTTTGATTTGCGCGTGATCATGGACCCGCACCAAGACGTCTGGTCGCGCTACACGGGCGGGGACGGCGCGCCGCTGTGGACGCTCACCGAAATTGGCTTGTATCCGCCGCACTTTGCAGTGACCAAAAGTGCGTTCTGCATGGACACCTACGGCGGGCGCCCGGAAGACTTTCCCAAGATGGTGTGGCCCACCAACTATTTCAAGTTTGCGAGCGCGACGATGTTTACTCTCTTCTGGGCGGGCAACCGGTACACACTATCTCTAGTGGAGGAGTCTCATGCTATCGATGTGTAGGGTCGCGCCTGGTATTCTTGTACGCGGGATGCCCGTGCAGGACTTTTTGCAGTCGCACTACGTGAACGCGGTTCTCGAAGTCGCCAAAATCGTCGCCGACATGGACCACGTCATTGGCTTTGGCACGATGAACGAGCCGTCGCCGGGGTACGTTGGTGTCGCCGACATCAGCCAGCACTTTCTGGCAACGGAGCTCAAGCTCGGTCTCGCGCCGACGCCTTTCCAGGGCATGTGCCTTGCGAACGGCATTGACCAGCAAGTCGAAGTGTGGTCCACAGGTATACCGCCACTAGTCGTTTGAATCGCTGGCCTCACGTGTATACTCCTACAGGGATCATGCAATACATCTTCAATCAGCCCGACACGGTCAAGCTCATCAAGTGCCACGGAAAGCGGGCGTGGCGCGATGGCGTTACGTGCATTTGGGAGCGCCTCGGGCTCTACGAGATGGACGCGCGCACGCAGCGGCCCGTGCTTCGTCGACCGCAGCACTTTGCCAACATGGACTTTGGCGTCGACTGCTACATTCCCTTTGCCAACGTACGCTGCTCTTTCTTGCCATTGGATCTCATGTGTCCACAGATGTATGCGAATGCGATCCGCGCCGTCATGCCGCACATGATCTTGTTCATCGAGATGCCGCCGCTCGAGTTCATCTCGACGCCGTTCCCGACGATCTCCATTCCGCGCAGCGTCAACGCGACGCACTGGTACGACCCGATCACGCTCTTTCTGCGCTCGTGGAAGCCGTACTTTACGGTCGACGTGCACACCAAACGTCCAATTTTCGGCAAGAAGAACGTTCGCGACGCCCACATCCGCGCCTTGCGAGCGATTCGCGAGACGTCGTCGCGCTGCATGGGCGGCGCGCCGACGCTTATTGGCGAGTGCGGCATTCCGTTCAACTTGACCAACAACAAGGCGTACGCTTCGGGCAACTTCGACGCGCAAGTCGCCGCGATGGACAACACGGTCGCGTCTCTCGAAGCAAATCTGCTCTCGTACACGCTTTGGTGCTACACGTCCGACAACAACAATGTCTGGGGTGACAATTGGAACCTCGAGGTATGCATAAGTGGTGCCGGGCTTGCTCTCACGGTGGCATGTAGGACCTGAGTCTCTTTAGCCGAGACCAAGAAAACAAGGCAAAGGTGTTGACGCTGGCGGTCGCGCCAAGGAAGGTTACGTGCGCCCGTCTGCCATCAAGATCAGTGGCCGGCCATTGACATCGCGCTTCCACCTCGACCGCTGCGAGTACCACCTGCGCATGAAGTCGACGGAGGCGACAGCCAAGGCACCAACCGAAATCTACGTGCCTCGGCTCGTGCACTTTCCAGACGGGTACCACATCCAGGTGTCGGACGGCTCGACGACCGTCAAGCACTTTGAGGGCTACGACATTATCTACTACACACCGACCGCTGCTGCCGCCACGCACCACGTACAGATCTCCAAGAACCAAGGTAGTAGCGCGGTCCCACGCTCGTCGGTGCACTGGACGGAGATGCTCCGTAGATGGTGCTGTCTCGGCCAATGCACATCGCGATCCAGGGATGACGACGACATCGACTACCATCGTGCGTCGTCAACGACGGCTTCGGAAGATGTCGAACGCATAAAGCTCGATCCGTGGGCGTAGATGAATTAAAAGCGAACATAATGGTCAAAGATATGGATGTATGGAAACCCCGAGACACTGCGCGAGCAGCTTCTGTGGCTGTAGCCACCCGGAATCTCAAACACCGAGAGGTCCTAGCCAAGAAGCATAAGGAGAGGCGCGTGGTGGTTTTGTACCTGAGGGCGCACTGTCACATCGAGCATGTCGTACGTGATCAATGTAGTCCACGCATCACCATCGAGTTGGCTCTCTTGCATCAAGCGGATCGGAACTTCAACGACGCATCACCATCCAAAAAGACTCGCATCGCGAACGCACCACGGTCCGACGAGCGCTCGTACACACTGACGCGGACGTTGGCGTCGCTATCCTCCGAGACCCAAAGGCGGCAGTCGACGCCGTCGATCGTACTCGTGCCCTTTGCAATCGAATGACCGCACTTGACTTGCTTCCAATCAATACCTGAAGTATGAGGTCGGACGGAACACGCGGCAGTGGCATGTCTTCGCCTACGGGCACTCGAGTTGCAGCACGGACTCGAGTATTGCACCGATGACTGTACCCAAGTACGCGCGCTCGCACTTCTTGTACTCGCCGTACTTGACGATGTACTCCTTCTTCTATCGTAGGCGACGTGTGATGGACCACATGGCAGGACATACGCACGGTATCGTAGCGCCGAATGTACGTCTTGCCCTTGTCGTAGCCGGCGAGAATATCCGCACGCGCTACTTTTTGATCAAAGTCGTAGCGAACCTTGAGGCGGCGCAGCCACGGAGGGTAGTCCTTGGAGCGATCGACGAGGTGGGCTATTTAAGGCCGTCGTCGCGAGCGGTTTGGTCGTCGCCTCACGTACATGTGATCTCGATGTTCGCATCGAACTGAAGTGGCATTGTTGGTGGGGCCATCTTCGAGCCATGGACGGCCATGCACGCAGCAAGGAGCATGCCGAGAAGGTGCATCTCGGCCGCCAGTCGAAAAACGCGATCTTTTCCCAGTAAACGGATCCGGATAATAATCGCGCACTTGGCGTCGAGCGGGATTTGGCGCGCTTTGAATTATCATTGGCGATATAAAAATATATGGCCGTTTGTAGCAAATTGGACCGTGGGTATTTGAATTCGAGTTGGAATCGTGCTTGACTGTACGGAATTTAATTTTGGGATTTTCAGTTCCGGAGGGACCGCAGCAGCGATGGTCCGAGGAACGCGGGCCAAGGCCAAGGCCGCTCCGGCGAAGGAAGCGACGACGAAGCAGGGGACCCAAGGACGCAAGGAAGCGCTTGAGAAGGGGGAAGACGAAGCCGAGCATGAAGCGTCTGTGACCCGCGGGTCCAAGCGTGTGCGAGCAAAGCCCCACGCTTCGGACGAGGACGATGCTGCGTCCTCCGATGCCCCCGAGGTGCGCAAGCAGCCGGCAAAGCGTGCTCGGAAGGTGGCCGAGGTGCAGGAGTCCGACGAGGATGATGCACCTCGGACCGAGGCGCCTCGCCGTCGCGGCCGCGCCACGAAGCAGGCAACATCGACCCCCAAGACAGAGGAGAGCACAGACGACGAATCCCCAACACCAGCGGCGTCCAGTGCTCGAGGACGCTCGGGGAAGGGTGCTTCCAAGTCTTCGACGCCAAGTAAGAAGGCGTCAACTCGACGTTCATCACGAAACGCGGCCACGATGGACGTGTCGCAAGACGATGCCAACGACAGCGACAAGTCTGCAACGGGAAATGTCGAGCCTGCTGAAGAGGTGAAGATGTCCCCCGCGCGAGCACGTGCGACGCGGCGCAGCAAGGCGACGACGCCTGCGAAAATATCAACGCCAAACAAAGCGACGTCCGAGCCCAGTGCAACCGAAGAAGATGCCAACGAGAGTGACGCCTCCGAATACGACGAAGAAGAGGAGACGAAGATATCGGCGCAGCGACGCAGCGCGCGTACCCGCAACCCAGCCCCGACGTACAAGTCGCCGTCAATTGCAGCCATGGCAACGGCCGCTGCGGTCGAATCCAGCTCGTACCTACCCTTTCTTTTGTTTTTGCACGTCTTACATATGTGCATTCTAGTGCCCAACCGGGTCGTGTGCCGCGACCCAACGCACGTACGTTGAACCCAAAATTGAAGGCCGTCAAGGGCAAAGGTGGTCGCAAGAAGGATGAGTCGGATGACGAAGCCGACAAAGACCTCTTTGAAGCGGTGCGAGAAGGCACATGCAGCATCCCCGACTTGCTTCAAGGCTGGCGCAGTCGCTACGAAAGTGATACCGATGCTGCTAGCCGGAGCTGCTCAACTTCATATTGCAATCTTGCGGCGCCGCCTCCAAGTCGGTCAAGGACGACGACGACATTGAAGAACTGGACATGGGCACGCTCGTGGACGCGATTGTGGTCGACCTTGAGGCCTCCAAGGATCTCAACTACCCGATCGTGTCCAAGACGAAGGTATCCCTTCTTTAATTTTCCAGTAGGTCTAAAGCATTGGATTAGGTGTACCGCTACTTCAAGTCATCGTTTGCCGAGTTCTGGGAGCAATTCGTCGTCGAATGCTGGGACAGCGAGACGTTCCAGTCGACGGACGTGGTCGAGAACTGCATTGACTGGCTGACGACGCTTTCCAGGTATGACACCGTCCTCACCGTCCTTGTATCTTACCACGTGAATGTAGCGCTGAAGTTCGGGCCGTGCGACATACATCGACTATGGCTGCGTACGAGATTGGCAAAGCCCTCGTCGACCGCGCGCGCTTGGTGCGGGACCAAATGGCGCCGATCGCGCGACAGTACACCGCCGAAGCTAAGAAGCTGAAGGACACGCCCAAAAAGACACCCAAGTTTAAAAAGCTGCACGAGACCAAGAACAAGTACGACACGCAGCGCAAGAAGATCATGGCGGCCATCGACATGCTCTTCAAGGGTGTTGTCGTACACCGGTACCGCGACATTATGCCCGAAGTGCGGGCCGCATCGGTCGCGGCGCTCGGTGCGTGGATTCAGCGCATGCCGGACGTGTTTCTCGAAGACAACTACCTTAAGTACTTGGGTTGGATGCTCAATGACAAGCACGCCAAGGTCCGTGTCGCCGTGCTCGAGGCACTCCAAGGCATTTACGAGGTAAGACGGTTGTTCGCTTCGTACGTCATTGATCCAATTGCGCGGATCTAGTCGGCCAAGCCGTCTAAGATCGAGGCATTCAACGCTCGCTTCTTGCGCCGGTACCTCGAAATGTGCGACGACGTTGACGATGATGTGGTCCTGCGTGCGATCCACTTGGTCGCCAAGATTGATCGGTAGACGCATATACACACATTGCTATGAATCTGACGTTGTCATTAGACTCGACATGCTTGGCGACGAGTGCGATTTGACGGTCGTCGAGCGTCTTGTCTTTTACGACCAAGACGACCGCATTTCCAAGGCTGCGGCGGAGTTTGCATGCCTTCAATACGATGCATTCGGTGTTAGCCGTCAAAAAGAGCTCTCGGAGGCGCAACTGACGACGCAAGCCATAGCACTCATCGAGTTTGCCGAAGAGTACATGGAGTCCCTTGGCGAGATCGAGCGACCGATGGAGACCCTCGTCAGTGCCTTTTGGGACCTTGAAGATTGCCGTACGGTTTGAAGTACATGTGATACGCGCGCTCACACATCAATCTTTAGAGGTGATCCAGAACTGGCGGCTATTGGCCAAGCTACTGGGCTCGGACTCGCAAGACCCGGCCCTCACGTCCGAGCAACAGGTATGTAACTTTTACGCCTCTAACCCATTGATGGCGATGCATATTGAGTCATCTCTGCGTAGACCATCTTGATCCAGCTGATCGCCGCCGTGCTCAAGCGGCTCTCAGAGGACGAGTCGGCGCCAAAAGCGCGCAAAGCAAGTTCGCGCAAGAAGACGTCGGACGAGGTACGAAATAATCGCTCGTTTGGGCGCAAGATGAACGAGAACGCGTAGGAGCCAGCATCCATTTACTTTTGCCGCGAGTTGCCGCACTTCATGATGCGTTTCCAGGCCGACTCGGAAAAGGTGTGCTTGCTCCTGCAGTGGCTCTCGCTCCTCAACTGGAACGCGTCGAACATCAACCAACACCACGAGCACGTCGAAATGCTCTTGCAGCGTCTCAAGCAGGTCTATATTACGTACTCGGAAGAGCCGTTCTTGGATGCGCTCTCAAGCGCGTTCCACTACATGGCAGAGAGCAGCAACACAACGCTCAAGCGCGACGTGGATGTCGTGCTCTTTGCGATCGCGCAGGAAGGCGTTGACCAGTGTGCGACGCTCATCCGTCAGCGCAACCTCGACGACGACGGGCAGTTCACGCTCCGGGCGTGGCTCGCCCGCTCAGCTTCCTCGGCGGTTACCTCGACCTGCGCGAGTATCTCAAGGCGACAGACCGGACGTTGCTGCTCGAGTTTATCGCGGACCGTAGCACCCACTTTACCGGCGACGCGCTTGCGATCAAGTACGCGCTCAACATTGTGCTCAAGGACCTCCTCTGGGCAACGACGCCCGTCTTTGACATGCTTGAGAAGAGCGAGGTGCACGACGACGTCGACACTCATATTCAGAAAGTCCTTCGGCGCCGGCATGCAGTGGAAGATGCGCTCTTGCAGCTCCTTTCGATGCACCTCAAGCAGCCCGTGACGCGCGACACGCCCAACGTGCACGACGTGCTTGATGACGAGCTTGACGAGGACGCGCCGCATTGGGCAGAGATCCAAGCGGTGCAACTTGAGGCGTTCAAGGCGCTCTGCGATGTCCGATGCTTGTGTGTCGAGAAGTTTGATGCGCTCGCACCGCCCTTGGACATTGTTGCATACAAGCCGCATCCGAACCTCCTTGCGCTGAGCCAATCGTTCTACGAGCGCACGCTTGAGAGTGGCGACGAGGACGAAAACGCGCAGCGGGACGTGGTTGTCGCGCTCGCGAGCGCGTCTATTTGGAATCCTCAAAACAAGCGCCAAGCCGCTTCGGTGCTCCGACTCGTCACGTACGCGGGCCTGCGCCCGATCGCCAAGGCGTTTGGGAAGCTCCTGAGCTCGCTCTCGCCCGTGAAGCTCCTTGAAGTGCAGATGGTGGCGCTGCGCCACACGTTCGAGGACTCGCCGCAAACAGCCATCGATCTCGCCAAGGCGCTGAGCCAGTCTCTCGGTGTGAAACTTCCGGTGTCGTTGCGAGGGAGCTATCTCAAGTTCCTCTTTGAGGGTCTCCGCGTCTCACTGTTGTCACCGCTGGACGAGCATGTCGGATTTCTCCAGCTTCTCAAACCGTACTTGTACCGTCTCGAGAAGGCGGCGATGAAGGAGCTCCAGGAACATTTTGATGCGCTTCGCGGCCGCCTTGTCGACGACACAACTGACGTCGATGGCATTCTCGATGAGTTTTACACGGTCTTGACGGGAGCCGCTCCCAAGCCAAGTGAGTCCTCCAGTGTCCCGACGCCCAAGAAGCGCCGCCGGGCAACGTCCTTGTCTGACGACGATGACGACGCCGGTGCGACCAACCCCGCGGTCTCGAACATCACGATTCGGAAGCGTCGTCGCGGTCCCGAGGCACAACCGACGCGACGAAGCAGCCGCATCCGCTCAGCGCCCGACTCGGATGATGAGGTGTTTGACCTCAAGGAGACACCAAATGTCAAGATGAGCAGCGAGGCCTCCGTCGACGAAGACAATGCGAAGGACGACGAGGAAGCGACCATGGTCGACGAGGAAGAGACCAAGGACGATGAGGAAGAGACCAAGGACGACGAGGAAGAGACCAAGGACGACGAGGAAGAGGCCAAGGACAACGAAGACGAGGTGATCAACGACGACGAGGAAGAGACCAAGGACGACGAGGAAGAGACCAACGACGTTGATGAGGATGTGGCACAAGTCGAAGACGAAGCCCCAACGATGGTCGCGAGCTTCCGCACCAAGAGACGAAAGACGGGTTAGAATCGTTTGTTTGGCAGCGAGTTTGGCAGCGCCACCGTTCAATATATTTTGTTTGCTTCACACATTTTGCATTACGGTATCACTCCTTCTTGGTCGACGCGACGTTCTTGGATGCTTTTCCCATTTCGACCGACCGCGTCCGGGCCGCAAAGTTGAGCGTGCAGAAGGATTCTTCAGCGTTGTAGTCGACGGGCGAAGAGCACGCAACCATGAGCGTCTTGGAGTCGCCGCCGAGCGAGTCTTGGAGAAGGTACGTGAGCGACGAGTCGCGGTACGGCACATGCTTTTGCTTGTTGGCGCGCGCCTGGATAACATTCCCGAGCGTCGACAGCGACTGGTTGATGTTTTGCGCCTCCTTGAGCCGCTGTCCTTCGGCGCCAGTCTTGGAGAGGCGCTCCGAGCCCGCCAAGTCGACCAAGTGCAGCTACCGAATCGTCGTTAGCGATGGCGGAGAGAACCCAGTCAATATACTTTGCCCGTAGCAACGGCGTTGGTGAGAACGTTGGTGCTCTTGATGTACACGGAAAGGATCGAGTGCGACCGAGAGCTGTGTTCGTTCATATCCGTCGCAGACGTCGCGCGGTTCTGGTTGCCGCGCGTGATGAGGTTGAAGACGTCATTGGCGTTTGCCACGGCCAGCATGGTCAAGCCCTGCACAAAGTTGCCGTTCGGGCCTTGACGCACCGAGAGGTTCCTATTAGCCACATGACTACATGCCCGCATTGGCTCATGTCCGTACGTCGTCGCAGCGTTCTCGGCGAGAAGGTCGCGAATCACTTCGTTGTAGATCTCCATGATGCTCACTTGGATTTCGTCACTGTACTCTTGCTTCCGGCTCTGCTTGAGCGCAAAGAGCTCCGTGAGCGCGCGTGGGTTGATGCCCGGGTTCTCCGCGGACCCCGACATCGTAAACGTCTTGCCAGACCCAGTCTGGCCATACGCAAAAATGCACACATTGTAGCCGTCGAGGACGGATGTAATGAGCGGCTAGAGGCGGTGCAGTGAAGTTGTGGCGTTGATAGAAATTCATCAGTCGTACCTTGACTTGAGCAAAGACCTGGTCTTGCGTCGACTGCATGTCGAAGACATGCTCGAATTCGTACGTTTTCGACTTGCCCTTATCGCCCGCGAGCGAGACTTCCTCGGGGCCGTTGAACTTGGCGACGACCTTGCTGCCGTTCGCGAGCTCCGACTTGGAGATGGGTCGGAACCGACACAGCACGCGGATATTGCCCTGGAGCTCCTGCACGAGGTTAAAGAGGCGCTTTCGCTCCTTCATTTCACGCCGGTAGTTGTCGACGACACCAGCGAGCGCGTCAGCTTGCACCTTGACCCGCGCCTCGATTTTTGATGCGATGTCCTTGGCCGCCGCCGGAAATTGCGTCACGAGGCCACTGACGCCCGTTCGCAGTGTGGCGAGGTCCTGGCGTTGCGCGGCTAGCTGCGTTTTGGCAGCAGCGAGCTTGGTCTGGAGCTGTGAACTGCTCTTGGAGTTTGTTTCGAGCTTCTTCCGCAGGTCCAAAATCGACTTTTTCGCTTGGTCCTTGAGCTTGTTGAGTTCAGCTTCTGCCGTTTGCTTGAGTTTTTCGTGCTTGGCAACGTACGTTGCCTCCATCTCGGACGCCGCCACCTTGGCCGCTGCGAGATCGGCTTCGAGCTGCGCGATTTTAGCCTGCGTTTGCCCATGAAAAACATCCTTCACCAAGGGTGTGGAAATGTACTTGGTCGGCTGCAGACGTGGCGGGCGGCACATCCGACGCTGGTGCAGCAACAACGGCGGCAGCTTTCTTGCTGCTGTGAGCTCATGCTCCAGGGACGCAATCTATATAGCACCAATATACAATCGGTGCACATCTTGCCGACCCACAAAACTACCTTTTTCGCCGAAGCTTGGAGCTCGCCTTCCAGCTACACCATCGACATCATGGCATCATCGCCACCAACATCATCCTATTGGATACCTTTTTTTGCGCCGCTTTGGCAGCGGCGTCAAGACTGGCATCCGGAGCGGCAGGAGGTAGTGGCGCGTCCTTGGCTTTGCTCAGCTTGGTCTGGGCGTCCTTTAGAAGCGCGAGGAGGTTTTGCTTCTCCGACTCGAGCGTCGCAACCTTCTTTTGGAGACCGCTTGCATCGCTACTGGAACTCTTTGCAGGCACCGCGGGGTCAGCGCGCAGCTGCCTTTTGAGCTGAAGGTTCTGCTCCGTAAGGGCGTCAATCTCGGCCCGGAGATTTCCAAGCGGGTCGTCGCCACCGTCGTCCTTGGTGGAAGCCGCTGACGCGGATGTCTCGGCGACTTCCGTGTCACGGGGTCAAAGGCGATGCCACCAGCGCGTAGCTTGGTCTCGTGCTGCGAGATAGCGTACAACAGGTCTTGCACGAGCAACTCTTTGGCCTTGAGTTTCTTGTCGAACGTCGTCTTGAGGATCGCGGTCTGGGATTTGCTCAGGAGCTGCAGTTTGCTCAGTGAGCTCTGCGCTTTCTCTTCGTTTTCGATAGCGACGCGGAGTTTGGCGAGCGCGTCTTCGCACTTTTGCTGCCACTCGGCGTTGTTGGAAGACGCCTTTGGCTGCTCGAGCATCGCGTCGTCGTCGTCAAGGCCGAGTTCTTCCTTCATCTGGCGCCGCCGGACCGCGTCCTCTTCGTCTTCGGACTTCGCCTTGCGCACGAGCTCGGGGTTGTACGTCGCCGGCCGCGAGAACGAGATGCTGCGGCTCGACATGTCTGAAAAGTGAGCTTCTGCGTCGTCGCCCAAGTATTTTGAGCGCGAAACGCACCTCGTCGCAACCGCCCGCGAAACCACGTGACTGACGTGGCAGCACGGCAGCGCATCAGTCGCGACTGGACCCTTGCGTGGTACCGGCTTGTTGGGAATGGAGGAGGCTGGCTGTACGGCGTCCGACCAAGTGTCGAAGAAAATGACTTTTGGCCTTGGTTGCCCACCGTCTTGTCGCTTCATGAAGACATGGCGTTGCTTGCAGTCACACATTTCTATAGTCCATCGTCTTGTGCGACCCTGACGTCAGGATTGTTTTCGTGCAGAGCCCTCGATGACAAGAGTGGGTACATCTCACGGGTGTTTTTACGCGCTATCAATCCTACTCGACCGCCTTGTCTAATCCTACTGGGTTACTGGAGCACGATGCCGACCTTGCCGTGGGGCATGCGCGGGCAACGCCAGTTGAAGAGGTAGTACTGGAGCTCGCCGCTGCCAATGCCAAATTTGAGTTCTTTGAGAAACTCCGTGTTTTCCATGAGGTTGAGTGCGTTGAAGACGTCCTGGTCCTGCTCCTTGGCGAGGATGAGGAGGTCCTCCATGAGCTTCACGAGCGGCACGGTCGTCGCGACGTTGTAGTACGAGTACGCGGCGTTGAGCGTCTCGTACGTCTTGTTGCCGATGATCGTGGACGGCAGGTGGTAAAAGCTCGCAAGGTCCGTGACCTTGTGCGTCGCCGGGTCCTCGACGACGTACGAGCTGACGACACCAGCGCGCGGGAGGAGCCAGTGGGCCACCTCGTGCTCGTTCATGTCGGCGACGAGGTCAAATTTGGCGAGGTACGTGCGGAGAAGCGCCGTGACGCCTGCCACGTGGCGCGGTGCCATGGGCACAAGGTTCGGTGTCGACGTCGCATCGGGAAGCTTGAGCTGCTTGATCGTGCGAGCCATGCTCGTGTTGGGCGCAAGGTGGGAAAAGCCAACATCGATGAGCTTCTTCGGGTGCAGCGACCGGTGGTAGTAGCGGCAGCTCGAGACGGGCATCGGCAAAACGACGCCGGCCGTGTAGATGGCCTGCCAAATGTTGCGCAAGTTGACGCGGCGCGTGATCTCCTTGATGAGCACCGGCGCGAGGCGCTTCGCGCGAAGCTTCTTGTGCACGCACAGGTAGTTGATCTCGGCCATCGGCATCACGTTCTCGTACGCGCGGATCTTGGTGGGGAAGCCGCCAATGAAAGCCATGAGCTTGCCGGTCTTCTCGTTGCGGACACCGACGTGCCAGTCCTTGTGGAAGCCAGGCGAGAGGAGAACCCACTTGAGGAACTCCATCGAGTAGTCGAAGCGGAACATGTTGTCGTCGTCTTCGACGTAGTTTTGATACAAGAGGTCGTAGAGTTCCTTGAGCTCGACCTCGTTGGTCAAGTCAAGGTCGCACCAGACGAATCCAGCGGGCATGTTGAGCGGCGTCTTGCGGACATCGTCGACAGTCTTGGGCGCGTCGATCGCACCGTGCTCCGTGGGTTGCTCCGTGATGGCGGGCACGGGCTGCGTCTTCCAGAACTTGTAGTCATCGTTCTGCTTCTTGATGCGCTGCTCGGCCTGCTCCTGCGAGACGAGGTTGAGCTGCTTGAGCACGCGCAGGAACTCTTCCTGCTCCTCAACCGTCACGAGCTCCGCCTTGTTCTTGACCTCTTCGATCGCGGCTGCCACTTGCTGCTTGTCCATCGTCGTTGACGCAATATAGGAAATGCTCGCCACACGTGGTTGGCTTGCGCTATCCGGAATCTTCGATTCTTGAGGCTCTAAGGTTCCGTATCCGGATTGGAGTTGCGTGCACCTAGTCTCTGCCCAATGCGCTGGCGCCAACGCACATCAAACAGTCGGACACTCGACGGATTTCCCGATTGTACTCGGACACACAATGACGTTCTTCTGATGAGGCATCGAGTCGCATCTTGAGGCTTGCTGAATATTTTTCTCCGGGTGATCCAGCAGGTCCTCGAATCAAGCGCGAACACGTCAATGATAAGAAGGAGCCAGGACTGCGGGCAGCTGCAGCGGACAAGAATCAAACACCATAATACTGCATCAAATGCAGCTGTGATATGCGAGTTGTTCTTGTTCTGGCCTCAACCGTCGCTGCTTGTATGAACCATCGCGATGCAGGATGCTGGATTCACGCTGGGAACACTCAACAATTTGCACTTGACCTCGCTGCGACATTTTGCAATGGCCGTCGTCTGCTTTGGATCGGGCCGCGTGGCCTTCCCCTTCGTCGAGAAGATCACGCGCAACGCTGGCACTCAGCTGGTTCTTGTTTCGGACGACGCTCGACAGCTAGCGATGCTGCGCGACAAGGCGGCTGCGATGGGTCGCTTCAATTTGCAGACGCACGAGCTCAGCATCACGGACGCGGCTTCGGACGTCGCTGCCGTCGTCGCGTGCCTTGAGCAGTTCCAAGCAACGTGTGTCGCTGCGTTGGTGCCGGAAGATGCGCAATTTGCGATCGCGCGCGCCTGCATCGCGACCAAGACGCCTCTCGTGACTGCGAGCTACGCGTCGCTCCGACTCAGTCACCTCTCGGCCGCGGTCGCCGCCGGCATATCGATTCTCTGCGAATGCGGTCTTGATCCTGGCCTCGTAAGACGATGCTACTCAAATTGCTTCGCCTCACAAAACGGGTGATCGCTAGGACCACATGAGTGCGATGCACATGATCGCTCGGGTCCACGCTGCAGGCAGTCGCGTCCATGCCTTCTCGTCGATCTGCGGTGGGCTCCCGGCGCCCGAGGCCGCCAACAACCCCATCGGCTACAAGTTTACGTGGTCGCCTTTGGGTCGGTGTTGCACATGGTATATGCATCATGAAAGCTTTCTTGTGTAGGAACGATGCGGGCGATGCAGCGACCGGCCAAGTATAAGCTCGAGAGCCACGTCGTCGACATACCAGGCCACGTCCTCTTGGAGCATGCTTCGCCTTCGCGCGCCTTTCCCGCGCTCGCGCTGGAACAATTACCGAACGGCAACGCACTCCCGTACGCCCAACTCTACGGCATTCCCGACGTCGCGTCCATCTTCCGCGGCACGTATCGCTACGCGGGTTTCTCGGCCATTCTCGCCGAGTGCATTGCTCTCGGGCTCCTCGATGACTCAACTCTGACGGGTGGCGTGACGTCCTGGCGCGCACTCGTGACGGCACGCCGCCAAGCGCTTCCGACTTTGCACTTGAGCGAACCGACATTGCACTTCCTGCAGTGGCTTGACGAAAGCGTGTTGGCACCAGCGACGACGGCGCTGGAGGCTTTCACGCGCCGCCTCGAGGCCAAGCTGACGCTGCAGCCACATGAGCGCGACCTCGTCATTATGCGCCACGTTCTCGCCGTCGAGCAAGCTGACGGGTCTTTCGTGGAGCACACGGGCACACTTCTCGGGTACACTAGCTGCTTACATGGGATGTAATCTTACTTATATTGCTGCAGATACGGAGACGCCGACAGCACGTTCATGGCCCGCTCGGTTGGTCTTACTGCGGCGATTGGGGTCGAGCTCATGCTGCAAGGACGTGTGACCAGCAAGGGATTTGTGCAGCCTGTGGTGCGCGACATCTACGAGCCGGCGCTCAAAGCCCTTGCAGACGAAGGGATTTCGCTGGTCGAGACTACGCGGGTCTTGGCGAAGCTCTAGCTGGAAGGACACGGCGGTAGCAACATGAAGATGAGCTGGTATTAGTTTAGATGGCTAATTCGAAAAGGCAGGTCGGCGGCTCAGTCGTTCTGCTTGACCCTCTTCTTGCCCCGCGCGCCTTGGTCGCTCGTAGTCGGCTTCGTCCCTTGCTCGTCGTCCTTGGTGTCGTCCTTGGCCAACTTGGAGCCGTTGCTTGGTCGTCGCTAAGGGTCAAAGGAGGATGCATCACAACTACTGTCCAAGTGCATTGTATGAATCGATCAATGTTTTGCACGGGCGTGCGATAGTACCTGTCCGTTTGCCGTTGCATCGCCATTCTCCAGCATCTTGGAGGATGCTGCCGCGAGACGCTGCCGGTTGGCACCCTTTCTGTGAATCTTGTAGCCAAAGACGCGCGGGACGTAGAGATGCGTCGACGGCGCAGGCTCCAGGTTGCTGTACGTCATGAAGAAGAGGTGCGGGAATGTCGAGCCAAAGTAAGCACCATCGACTACACAGAACGCGTTCGTTAGCCCAAACATCCAAGAAGTACTGCATCATACTGGTCGCGCTCTCAAAGTCGATTGCAGGCGTGTACAAGTCTCTGCACTTGGGGCAGTAGACCTTCATCTCAGCCTTGCGCGGCTCATCATACATGCCAGCGGGCACGACGGGCTGGCCGTCACATAGCGCGCGCGGGCAGTAGCCAAACTCGGCCTCGCGGTACTTCTTCAACATCGCGTCGAGGCCATGGCTCGTGATAATGTAGCGGGCGTGAATGAGACCGTAGAGCTCCACGGCGCACGACGGTACGTCTTCGTCATACGGAATATCTAGGGTCACGGGCGTGAGATGCCACCGGCGACGCGGCCATCGAGTACATGTACCTGTCAAGTCGAGGATGATGTTGAGCGCATCCTGGTAGTTGGGCACGATCGCGCGCAGCCCGTAGAGATTGAACGAGTCTTCGATGTACGCGGGGTTGATCTCGCAGAAGTACTCGTTGCCAGGCAGGCCGCAGAACCACTGCGACCATTTCTCCTCGTCCTCTTCGTACTCGTCCGGCTCGTCCGCGCTGCTGTTTGCCATCCGTACCATCAAGCCAAGTTAGCCCAGACCCGACTTTGGCCGTTCGTGAGTGTGTGCGTCACGCAACTCCACTCCACCCGTCGTTGCCACAACCCCAACCCTACCTGTGGTGCCCCGGGGCATGTCCGGGGGATCCAATCGCGTCCTGCCTCGCGCCCCACAAATAGTCAGTGCCCCGGGCCTCGCCAAATATATATTTCATGGCGTCCTCGCGGTGCAATAAAATGGTGCCGTGCGCGTCGAATATGTGGGGATTTGTAGCACAATCGCCGACCAAATTGCGCAAAAATGCAGAAAAAATAGCATCCGACGATCTGATTGGCGTATGGACCAGCCAGACCCAGGGTTGGTCACTTTACCGTTCAATATTAATATTACGGCTGCAATATATCAAACGCGGCGCATTTCTTGTCGGGCGGGATGCAGAACTACCGAGCGTTGAAGAAAAAGACGTCGGGGTACGGCAACGTCCTCGACGTGGACCGAGGCCGTCACGAGCCGCGCCGCGCCGGCAGGCAGGAGGCCAACCCGCAGCAACCACAGTACCAAGTCGACCCGTTGCAGTACCAGCAGCAGCAATACCAGCAGTCGCCTCCGCAATACCAGCAGCAACCGCCGCAATACCAGCAGCAGCCAGCTCAGTACCAGCAAACGCAGTATGTGCAGCAGCCGCAGCACTACCCGCAGGCAAGTCAACCAGCCCCTCAGCAATACCAGCAGCAGCAGGTGCCGCAACACCACCAAGCACCCGTGCAGCGTGCGCCGTCACATCAAGACAATCGAATGCACCGCCAACCGTCACAAGAGCGCCAGAGGCGACATCCTTCGTCGTCGGACTCGTGGACGCGCCAGGCGTCTGCAGAACAGGCGCCCCGCATGCCATCGCAACCTCGCACGTCGTCGCGGCAGGCGTCCTCGTCGTCCACGCGACAGCAATCGTCATCGTCGACATCGGGGTCGGTGCTCAGGTCGTCGTCGGCGAAGGCCGAGTACGATCTCATTTGGCACCGTGACGCACTGGCCGTCGCGCTGCGTTGTAACTCGAAGCAGCAAGCTGTCATCAAGCGCATTGAAGACCAGTCGAACACAGTGGAGACGACGGCTGGTCTGTCGTCGGCAGCCGTCAATGATGTGCTTGTGGCCATCAACTGGGAAGACTGCACGTCCATGAGCTGGGACCAAGTAAAGTCGCGGCTCAGCGAGCGGGACTTGCCGCTCACGCTTACTTTTCGATCGTCGTCGAAACCGGAGCCTCCTCTCCGCGCAGAACCGGCGCGATCGGTGCCAGTCGTCGTCCCAGAGCCTGAGGCGGCTGAGCCCGAGCCGGAGCGGCCCCGGCGTGGCTCCAAGGCGATGGCAATTCCGACGGCGTTTGCACTGCCGCCACTGCTAGCAAACGAATACAACGTCACGTGGTCGCAAGGCAAACTCGGGGTCGTGGTCCACCTCGAAGAAGGCGGCCGCGCTGTCGTCAAGGAGCGCACGACGCCGAGCGCCGACCCAAGCACGGGCCAAATCGAACCGCGCGACGAGCTCCTCTACGTCAACGATGCATCCGTGGCATCGATTGGCTACAACGAAGCGCTCGTCCGCATGCGCGGGAAGAAGCCGATCCACCTCCGCTTCCGCCGGGCGATGGCCTCGGGGACGCTCATCGACACGATGGTCGAGGCTGACGGGCCCGCCGAGCCGTACCAGCTCGTATGGAAGACGGGCCCGCTGGGTATCGTGCTCAAGAAGAACAAGAACGACGAAATTTTTGTGCAGCAACTCACCAACAAGGGTCTCTCGGCGTCATCGGGCAAGATTGCCGTCGGTGACATCCTCGTGGCTGTCACGGGGGTGCCAACTGCGCCGCTTGGTCTCGCGGGCACCGTGGACTTTCTTCAGTGTATCCAGAAACCCGCCGTTCTCGACTTTGAGCACCGCAGGGCGCGCCAGCCGTCGACAGCCAAGGTCGAACCGGACGTCGTTGCACCGGTCCTCACAGCACCGACGCGAGCTCCCGTTCCGTCGCCGCTGCCATCCCCGAAGGACTCGTTTGGCGACGATGCCAGCGACCAGCAGTCCATTGCTATGATGGCGCTGCCAGATTTTGAACGCTCGACGGGCACTACTGTCGTGCTTCCCGGTACGCTCGGAGAAACGTTTTTGCAGCCGTCCGTGCTTCTGCAGACACAGTCGTCGATTTCAGAGGAGACGCCGGTCCTCGACGCCGAGTACCAGGTCGTCTGGACGCGGGGCAAGCTCGGTGTCGTGATTCATTTGGAGGATGACGTCCGCGCCGTGGTTCGCGAGACCACCGGCACTGCGACGGACCCCAACTTGGCGCAAATTCAAGCGCGCGACGAGCTCATCGCGGTCAACGGCGTCCTCGTTGCGGACGTTGGGTACGCGGCGTCCCTCCAGGCAATGAAGGGTCCAAAACCGATCACGCTCCGTTTCTGCAAGGGCGCGCTAGATGACGACGACGACGATGCTGGAGTCGTCATCGATGACGAACCGTCGTCCACCGAACCCGTGATTTACTCGCTCCTCTGGAAGACGGGGTCTCTCGGAATTGTTCTGAAGCTCAACGACACGGACGACGTGTATGTCGCGCAGGTGACGGGCAAGGGCCTCTCGGAAGAGTCGGGTGCGATTGTCGTCGGTGACGTCCTCGTCTCAGTGACGGGTGTCCCGACCAAGCCTCTCGGCCTCGCAGGCACCGTGGATTTTCTGAAGTGCATCCAGAAACCCGCCGCCCTCGTCTTTGAGCGCCGCCCGACTCCGGTGCCGACGCAACATAGCAGCGTCGACAAGGCTCCGACTCCGGATACGTCGGTCGCAGCTGTCCAAACACCCGTCGTTGTAGACGTCGTGTCTGGCGCATTCGAATCTCCCGTAGCCGCACGGGAAGAGCTGCCCACCGTCGTCGCAGTCACAGTGCCGTCGCCCACGGAAGAGATTGAGACGCGTGCGACAGCTGCCAAGAGCATTGAGGTCCTTCGACGACCGGTGGTCCGTGACCCCGTACCTCCTGCTCTTCTTGTGCCCGAGAGCCCGTTGCTGGCGCCTCGCGTCAGCATCCAGCCGCCCTCCGTTTGCGTTGCGATTGACTCGCCCTTGGCATCGCCGGCGCTCAGTGGCGCCTATGCGCCGCTTTCGGTCATTATGACGCCCCAGGCGCTTCCGTCGCCCGTCATGTCGCCCCAAGCGCTTCCGTCGCCCATCATGTCGCCCGCGCCCGTCTTCACACCCATGCAGTCCCCGGAGGTTATGACGCCGCTCCAGTCGCCGCTCTCGTCAGTGCACTCGCCGATGCACTCGACGGTACTGACGCCGACGGCCACTACGGACGAGGTGCCGGCGGTCGTGTGTCTCGCCGACGACTTGGACGACACGACGCGCGAAATGGCGCCGAGTTTTACCGATCGCGCGTCCGACGTGTCAGCAATGACGGACCGTGCCTCCGACGCCAACCCGATGATCCTGGCCAATCAGGACGACGCCATGAGCACGCTCTACTCGATTATCTGGACGGGCGGTCCGCTTGGCATTGCGATCAAGCTCAACCGCCATGACGAGGTGTGCGTCATGGCGCTCACCGGCGGTGGCCTCGCGGGCGAGTCGGACATCATCAATGTGGGCGACGTGCTCGTCGCTGTTGGCAACGTCACTGTGCGTCAAGCCACGCTCGAGGAGACGTCGCGCGTTCTGAAGGAGACGCCGACGCCCGTGTCGCTGGTTTTCTTGCGGGCACCCATCGACCGGCGGTCGCAGGTGTCGATGGACATGGTCCCGACGTCGGCGCGCGGCATCTCGACATCGGTGGACGACGCCCACAGTAGCCCGAGTTCGTCCGAGTCCAAGGCCGGTGCCATCTTTTCTGTCGTCTGGGAAGGCGGTCCTCTCGGCATCGTGGTGCGCAAGAACGCGCAGGATGAAAACTTCGTCAAAGACTTTACTGGCGACGGGCTCTCGGCGCAGTCGGACTTGATTCGGCGCGGCGACGTGCTCATCTCGGTCGCCGACGTCCGTGTCCGGAACCTCTCGCTCGCGGCCGCGTCGCAGGTGATGCAATCGGTGCGCAAGCCGACGTTCCTCGTTTTCCGTCGTCAGGCGCTCGCCGACGCCAATGCCGCGGCCTAGGCAGGGCTTGACCTTTCCAAGGCGCCGAGTTCGTACTACGTACTGTATTTATTATGAACTCATCGTAATCCAAGCGCCTCTTTGTGTCGACGTACTACACTCGGATCTCACCTTGCAGCCGGTCTTGTCCAAAGCGGTGCATCTGTCATTGCAGACAGTGTACACACAACCTCATTGACGCTGCAACGTGTGTTTGACCAGCAGCTCCGAGGCGTCAACCAATAGCCTGCTGTTGATAGCCAAGCTTCACATGCCGTAGAGCTAAGAGCGTACTTGTACACTACATGTCATAGAGCAACGGAAATGGCTATGACAAAGCCTTGCTAGTACGTGACAATGCTGGTGGCAGAGTGTGGCTTGCTCAGTACTGTTTTGTTTGCGTACGTGTGTCTGCACTGGCTTGTTTGTTGTGTTTGTGCACGTGTGCCTGCACTGCTGTTGCTATAAGCGTAGTTCTGGGCTGTCGATTTGCACTGAGGCTCGTTCACGTCTTGTGGTGGACGAGTGACGGGTCGCGGGGCAAGAGCTTGTGGTACCTGAGCACTTGCCGTCACTCATTGCAAGCGCCTTCCGCCTTGCAGGAGGTACTGAGGTCTCGACGTTGTCCTTGCACTAGCCGTCGCAGTTGTCGTGAAGGTCACAGCCCCCATCGCCGCTGTTCTTACGTGCTGGTGCAAGGCGCCGGTGGAGAGAGTTGGGGCTTGCGGCACGAAAGATGGGTTTGCTCTCTCAGCCGTTGCATCCGTGCACATGTCATCGACTTCGAGCACACTCGCTTTGGTCGCTTGTGCCAGTCGCAGCATGCGTGCTCTCCAGCGGTTCACTCACGCGCTTTTCATGCACCGACACCTCACCGGCAGTAGCTGCGAGCGCTTCACAATGTAGTCACTGATGGCAAAGCAATACGCAGGTATGATCATCATAAGGTACCATCATACTATGATGTCACCTTTCAAATTCGCTTGATCTTATGCGTGTCTTCAACTCCGCCTAGCTAGCGTTTTCCTAGCAGCGCGTGAGCTTCGAAGATCGCTATGCAACCGGTTTTGCACCATGTGATCACCATCTGGTGCGTCCAAACCTCTACGCGTGACCGAGATCGAAACCAGTCAGCGCACTGCCATGGAGCTGCGAGTCGCCGACGCACCGCCGAGCCCCGCGGCGTTGCAGAAACTGCAGCGCAAGAGCGTCTTTCGACGGCAGTCGATTCAAGATGTCTCGCTGAGCTCGGAGCGGCTCTTGTTGCAGCATGAGCTTGCACAGATGATGCAAGTCGAGGTCCCGTGGGGAGCGGGGCCGCTTGGACTAACGCTCGTCAGCGAAAACGGACGAACAGTTGTGAAGGCGTCGACATGCGTTGAAGTCAACGCAGGCGACGTTCTTCTGGCGGTCAACGGTCACTCGGTGCTCCAGCGCGACTACGCCAGCGTCATGCAGCTCTTGCGCTCCGTGCCGAGACCAGCATCGCTCACATTCGCCCGCAGCTCTACACAGGGCGTCGACGACTCCGAATCCTCGTTGCTGGCGTCCGATGAAGTGTACCAGACACTCGTATCGCTCTTGGCGGACGCCCACGACCGCGATGTCACCTCGTCCATTATGTCGATTGCGTCTGGCGACTCGAGCCTTTCGTCGCTGGCCTACTGTCGCTGCCCCCACTGCTCGACAGAGACGGCCCTCGAAGCTTCGCTTACCTCGAGCGAAGCCACACTCGAAGTGGCGACGATGACCAGCCTTGAAGACCAGCTTAGCAGCTTCGTAATGACCGAAAGCACGGACGTGGCGACCATGACAACAACGTCGCTAGCGGGCAGCCCACGGCCAAAAGCACCGCCCGCGCGATGGCAAAACCTCTTCAACATCCGACCGAGCGCCAAGTCTCCACAAGACTCGACCTCAATTGAACGTCCACCGTCATCGACACCCAATCCACCGACGCCGCTATCCTCCTCAACCACTGCCGTCGTTGCTCAACAGCCGACTCGGTCAGCTTCCGCAGAGAAAGGAGCCCCGTCAACCCAACCACTGTACCTGCCGGTGCACTACCATGTCGCCGGGTACACTCCGGAGGGTCGTCCAATCCTCATACCGCACATGATCGCTGGGTCCACACCTGCGGCAAGCGTCGTTTCACCTCCTGCCGCAGCGTCAGCTCTCACGCCACTTCCGCCTGCGCCAACGGTCATCGCGCCCGTGGCGGCCGCACAGCCACTCGGGTTTGGTAACTTCGTCGACTTCGTCATCTCGGGCTTCACGGGTGGCGGTCACACCTCAGCACCTGCTGCTAAAAAGCCGAAGACCAAGACACCAAAGGACCCTGCACCAGCGGTAACAGGCTACTACAAAGTGCGCTGGCGCCAAGGCACTCTCGGCCTGACGTTGAAGCACGTGGACGCTCGACTGCTTGTGACACAGGTGGGGACGCCGCCCGCCGACTTGGCGTCGAAATTTGCGGTCGGTGACGAGCTCGTGGCCATCAATGGCTTTGAGACCGCGCGCATCGGATACCAGCAGTCGATCCACTTTCTCCAAACTCTGCCCAAGCCGATCCGTCTCGAGTTCCTTCGCGCTTCAGCGGCTTCGGACGCCAGTGTATCTTTTCAATAATATTGACGTTAATAACACATCCGTGTCCGCGAAGAAAGTCTCTTAGCGACATGTGGCGCGTAAAGGTCGGTGCAGCAAGTTTGTATCCACCTCGCAGCACTCGTGCTCCATCCCCAAGTCCCGACCGTCGGAGCCCATGACGCGGCTGTCCAACCTTTTCGACTACGGCAAGCGCCGAGCGTCGCTGGACGACCTTGCACCAGCTCCAGCGATCGACGTCAAGGCCCAGGTACGACTCATGCTTGGAGCGATTTGGAACGACTGCTCGTAGGTCGAGCCGAACGAGTCCGAGAAGCGCCACCCCGCGCTGGAGAACGCTCTTTTACTTCGCACGTCGATTTCGATCGCATCAACGACCTCCAGTCCGTAGACCCTAGTGTACGAATATGCGCTCACGACCCTGCATAGCCGACTCGGCGCGCTCCAACATGGCGTACATTACGTACATGGCCAAGTGGAACGACAAGAGCCTTGGCTTGCTTATCAAGAACCACCGCAACAAAAGCATCGTCAAGGGCAAGACAGAGGCTGCGGACGCTAAATGCAACCCGGACCTGCGCCAGATCCAGCACGGCGACGAGCTCATCGGGATCAACGAGCACTCGACGATCGACATTGGCTTTGAGGCGACGATGGCCCTGCTCAAGAACATTGTGAAACCTGCGATCCTCTCGTTTCGGCGCCAGATCCGCGAGGTCCACTCCAACAACGACGACAGCTTCACCTCCAACGCTGCGTCGCTGCGCCTAACAGACGTCCCGATGGCCGCGACATCGGTCGAATACGCTATGACACCACCGCCACCGACGCCGCCAGTTGCAACCAGTGTGAGCATCCCGAGCAATGCAACAACTCTCCCGAGCAAGTTTCGCAGCGGCCCCGAGGTACCTCAGCCAACGGCGGCCGACTTTATTGATACGGCGCCGCCCATGACTCGCACCAAGTTCCATGGCATCGACGCCGTACCGGAACCGTACTGGAGCGATGGTCTCCGCGATGACTACAATGATGATGACGACGGGGCCCGCGACAGTCTCTTCGACTACGACCCGCAGCAGTACGCCATGATTTCGAGTAACCGGTCGAGTTTGCCGCCCTTGTCGACGTGCCGAGCGACACACGTCAAGACGGGCGAAAGCGTTGTGCCGATGCTCATGTCGTCGCAGTCGTACGATGTCGACGACGACGCGAGTGCGTGCAAGAGCGAATTCATTCCGCTCTCGATGGACCACCGCGACGGCGCGCACGTGTTTACGCTCGTCCAGTGGTACGGCGAGCCGCTTGGCATCGCTTTGCACAAGAACAGCGCGAACCAGCTTGCCGTGCTCTTCTGCACGGGCGAGGGCATTGCAGCTGCGGTCAGCTGCATATCTGTCGGCGACGTACTTGTCTCGATCGCTGAGGTGCCGATGAAGCGCTTCACGCTGCCGGCGTGTATCGACTTTCTACAGGCAGCTCAGAAGCCTGTTTCGCTGCTGTTTCAGCGCCTCGAGCACATTGCTGGAGACGGCTGCGCGAAGTCTGCGCAACCGCAGGTTTCCCGGTACGATCTGGCAGCCTGCATCGAAAACACAAGCTCTTGCTCCGTCAGGAAGGTCCCTCTGAGATTACGATTGAGTGGGACGGTGACGATGTCTGGGGCTTGCAATTCAAGCACTACTACGTCCAGAAGGCTACCGTGCTTGTCGTGAGCAAGACCACAAAGCTGCGCAACGTCCGCGCCGGGGACCGCCTTGTGGCCATTAACGGTGTGCCCGTCGACGAGATCGGTGTCTTCGTCGCTATGCAGCAGCTCCTCGCCCGCACACCCACACACCTCACATTTCAATGCCACGCCCGGGACTGGATGGTTTAGCAACAGCTCTTGTACTAAAACACGAAAACATTAATCTAACATTCTGGTTCTGACGCTCTGCATCAGCCGGGGCCTGGATGTGGTCGTAGTTTAGGCCGAGTTAGGCACGTCAAGTAGCTTCGGCTTGCTGTGTCGCCGGGCCTTGATAGCAGCGAGCATGTCAACCGGCGCCTTGGTTGCAGATACCTTCTTGGCCTTGATTTCTTCGAGAAAGCTCATTGCGGGCCGAGTTGCAGTCGTTGGTACTGCGAGAGCTGGCGCCGTTACGACAACCGGTTCCGACACCTGCAGATGCTTCCAGCTCAAGCGAGTGGTCTGCTCATTGTACGTCGGAGCAATTGTCCGATTGCGGACGCCGAGGTCGCCGCTGACGTCACGCACGGCCTTGAGCTGCGCAACAATTCGCGTTCGCGTTGCCGACGTCGGCTCAACGAGCAGCGCAAACTCCATCTCTTCAAGCATCGCATCGAGGTAGTGCAAAACGTCCATGGCCAGGTGAACTTCAACGGTCGCGCGCGGGTCGCTATCGTCTTTTGAAGGATCGCGCTTTCCGCTCAGGTGCATGCCGCTGCGCTTGGCCATGCAAAGCACGACATCCCGGGCGTCCAGAAGCAGCGGAGACCATTGCTCAAGGCTTTCGCGCTGCACGAGGGCCGCCTCGGCAGTGGCGAAGCGACTAAGCGCCGCGTCCAAGTCGTCCATGACACCAAGTGCCTGCGTCACAAGGCGCAAGTTGCCGTAGTGGGCCTTCAGCTCTTTCTGCCGGCGGTCGAGCAGAATTTGACTGCGCACTTCGGCAAGGGCCTTCTCGCCTGCACCGTCCGGATCGCTCTTGACGACGTCCTGGACGAAATACACAGCGTCGGCAGGGTACGATACAGCCGATGTAGGCCGCGTATACAAGGCCACCGCTTTCGCTTCGACTGCCGCTGGGCACTGCTGGCGCCGACCGCAGTCGTGAGGTTCAGTCGTGTGCAGCTCGAGTTGGCCGATGCCATGGACGAGAGCGTCGTGGAGCTTCTTGTACCAGGCGAGCTTTCGCGCCGAGAGCTCGTCGGACGTCGCTTGCTTTTCCATTCGGCGGCTGGCTCGGCGAGCACAACGTGAAGTGCTCGCCGCTCGAGAACGCTAAGCCCCGTAAGACGATAGGCTTCAATGACGCTGGGGTGCATGCGCGTGATCGTCTTGGGGTCCACGCGCAGTAGCTGGAGAACGTTGGTGCGCTTGAGCTTCTTGGCCAAGTCAGAACCGATGCAAACCGACAAATCCTTCTCCGTGAGCACCGAGAGGTTGACCGGCATGCAGCATCGAAGCTGCCGCAGCGCGGCTTCGTTTGTGGCGCAGTGCTGCAGCTCCCACTGCAGCTCCTTCTGGCGCTCGGCTTCCATGTACTCGTCCGTCATCATGAGCGCAGTGTTGTAGCGCTCCATGTCCTGCTCAAGTCGAAAGTACTCTTTACGAAGCGCTGCTTGCAGTTGCTTGTCGTCGCAAACGACCTCGGACGACCCAATCTCCTGCAGGCGCGCGGAGATCTCGGTGACCTTTTCTTTGGCTTCGTCGTACGGGATGTCCTCGGCCACATTGATGCCGGCTTGCTTGAGCTGCCGCTCCATCTTCTGGAGCCGCCGACGCAATTTCACCGTGTCGGTCGAGAGCTGGAGATCTTCTTTGAGCCGCTGCTGCGGCGTTGGACCACTCATTCGCCGCGACCGCTGCGCGCTTGGCTCCACACACAAGCTTTCACGAACGTCATGCGCAGCTGGACTTGGTCTTCTTGCGCCTTGAGCTGCCGCGTGAGCTCAGTGATGAGCTTGCGGGCTTCTTGGAGCTCATGCTGTTGCTGCAACGTCAAGTCTTGCTTGGACGCCTGCAACGCGATCTTGGACTCGAGCTCTTCGACGCGGAGGCGACTTGCTTGTACCTGAGCTTCAAGCTCGAGCTCCCGAGCGTTCATGGCCGCGTCTTCCTCGTCTAAAATATCGTCGAGGGACATGGAGGCGTCCGAACTGTCGTCACATTCGTTGCTTGCCGGTCGTGACATCGTACACTCGTCGTCTAGCGCGGAATCGTACAGGAGAACCGGTGCCGGCTCGTACAAGACTGTGGCATCCGGCGCGAGCTTCGTCACTGTCGTCGTGTTCATCGCGAGCAGTTCGGCGCGGATGTCGTCATTGCGCCAGCGCAGTGTCGATGACACCACAGGCTTGAGGCCTTGGCGGTAGGCAAAGAAGCAGCATGTGCAAACGCGAAACTGTTTTCGATCAGCGGGAGATCGACTCGCTTGTGCATGGAGCAGCGGCTGCAAACGACGTCGCCGCACATGCGGCACGTGTGCTTCTTGCGCCAGAGCGTAAAGTCGCGCGCGCACACGAGGCACTGCTTGCGCGCACTACGTTCTCTTTGATGAGGCGAAGTCCACGTGCGCTCTCACTGCACTACCTGTGCGGCACCCACTGGCTGCGCTGGACAAACCGGTTGGGGTCGAGGAGGATCTCGTCGCCGTCGCATGCAGCTGCCAACACCGGGTCTTCGTCGCTCTCGTTGGACGAGGTCATGGACCGAAGCGACAGAAGCGTCTGCATCGACCGTCGGAAACAATCGCAGAATACACTGCGGCTGCGCCTGGTCGGCGTTCGAAGATGGCGACGGGCGGATCTTTCAAACGTGTGCAACGGCCAAGGTTGCACTTGTATTTTTGTATCTCGCGTCTCTGATTGGCCGGATCGTCACACGCCAATCAGCGTCAAGCAAAAGCTCGGCGCGGGCAAGGAAGAGCGGGCTGCGTGCCGGACTCAATGATAGGTAGCGTTGTGAATGCCGGCTTGGCACATACAAGGGACCCTTGTCTCACTGAGATGTCCGACCAGACGACGCGTCGATCGTTGCAGTAGCTGTTGCAGTACAGTACCCATCGCGCCAGAGCTTGGCGCCAACTATTTCGTTGGCAACCGACGTGGCAGCCAGCCGTGCGCTGGACCTTTGATGCAGAGCTGGATCAATGGAGGAACTGACGTAGATTCGCCACGCGCTGCGTCCATGGAGGGACACCCACTTGTCACTTGTGCCCGCTGTAACGTTGCTGCGTAACCGACGCAGGCATCCATGGGCGACGATGGGAGGAAGATCGTGCTCGAGGCGGCGCTCGAGGCCGCACCTCGCATTCTCGTTGTCGCCAAGACGAAGCGGCGTCTTAAGCAGCAGAACTCGCCCAAGAAGGCTTCGCCAGCAACCGACGAAGCAGAGTCGCCGGGGCACGGCCAGCTGCAGGTAATGCAAAGTTCTGCCTTGACCCAGTGGCCAATACATACCTTGTAGGTGATCCAAGCGGCGAATGGCGAGTTCTCGTTGCGGTTCGTCGACGTCGTCGTGCACAACCGACGTCGTCAAAACCTCTACGTCCTCCTCTGCACGACGCATGTGACCAAGTTTACAAAAGCGTTCATCACGAGCTTCGAAGGCTCCAGCGAACGCTTGCTCTTGGACGAAGGTCCTGACGGTCAACTCAAGGGCGCTCACGTCCCGCGCACGTTTGAACAGCGGATGCGCGTATTTGACCCGCGCCGATACAAGGCGATCGTCATCTGCAAGCCGGCGACGGCCAAGCCGCCGAGCGTAGCACCCGACATCCACCTTTTCGCTAACCTTGTGCCGTACGCGCACATAACTGCCGAGAGCGCGGCGCAGCTTCAGGCCAAAGCCGACGCCATCGCTAGTATCATTGTATCGACGCCGATCAGCGCCAACTTTGCCAACGACGACTGGACAATCGATGCGCTAGCGTCAAACGCCCGGGAGCTTTTTCACATGTTCGACCGTGACCGGTCCGGTGCTATCGACTTTAGCGGTACGCCCTGCAGCGTGACAACGGCGAACAAGGCGAGTAGAGTTCAAGGCGATGCTTTCGTTTGTAAGATCCAGCTGCTCGAGCCACAGGCCCGCCGGTTCTTTGCGTTGTGTGACGAAGGCAAGAGGTAGAAAGGATTTGCTTTCGGTTCACGACATCAACGTGGCGATAGCGGCTTTATTGACGAGCAGTACGAGAATGTCGGCCTCGCGGAACAACGCGTTGCTACTCAATTAGGGAGTTTGTCGCTGCGCTGTACATGACCAACTACCTTCGTGCGCGCAAAGCAACGCCGCACTTGACGCCTGCAGATGCCTTCGCACTCTTTGATGGTTCTTGCGATGTATGCGCCAAAAACCGACTTGATGGACTAGAGGACCGCGACGGGCTGCTCAACTTTCTTGAGTACGAACAAGCGATCAGGTCCCTCGGTGTCGCCCCGCCGAAAACCAAGCTCTACGCGCATTTTCCAATGCAAGCGCGGCTCATAGCGTTTCCAGATTTTCAAGTACCTTGTGCTCCCGGCCTTGACGATGGTCTGCAGCGGTAACGTAGGCGGTGTGGACGGAGCTCATTTCGGTCGAGGCAGAGCTAGTGAAGCGGCAAATTCCGCTGCCACCCCACTTACCGCGCTGGCAACTCAAGAAGCGGAAAATTGCGCTGCAAGAGTGCCTCGTCACAGCTCTGAACGCGCAGGCAAAAGAGGAAGTCGAAATGGCCAGGGAAGCACGAAGCATTGTCCTCGACGTCGAGCGCAAACGACAATTGGCCAAGCAAGGTCAGAGCCGCGCAGCGCTGCATCTCAAGCGCCAGGAAGAGTTGCACATGAAGACAGAAGAGGCAGTGCGCGAACGCGACGAGATGCTGCAGCGGAGACGGGACAGAAGCGCCAAGGCCAAAATGGCACAGGAAGAACGCCGGCTGCTGCGCGTGGTTGCGGACGAGACGGAGCGCCGAAAGCAAGCGCTATTGGCCGTCAAAACCCAGGCGCTCGTGCGGCGCCGAGACGAAGCAGGTCAACGCCGGGCGGAGCGTGGCGACGACGCGATCGAGTGGTCGCACCGCCAGCTTACCGAGGTGCCCGCCGACGTGTACCACGGCAAGGCCAACCTCACGGACCTCTCGCTCCTCGTGCTCGTGAACCTCGCGTGTAATGCGCTCACGACCCTTCCAGCCAACTTTGTCTATCACTTGGGTCTTGTCCAGAAACTTGACGTGTCTCAGAATCAACTGACGGCGCTTCCGGTGCGCGCACTCCGCATCCATGCAACTAATCTATGAGCTTAGGAAACTATCGGCGAAATGACCGAGCTTCGTATTCTAAACGTCCGTAGCAACAAACTCACAGCGCTGCCCGACACAATCTCAAAGCTTGCGCGGCTCGAAATTCTCGACATTTCGGGCAACCGACTATCCCACTTGAACCTTCCAACGCTCTGCGACCTGATCGCACTCCACGTGCTGTACGCCGCCGACAATACGATCGAGCTCCTCCCGCAGCATTTTGGCGACCTCCCGGCACTACAAGTGCTCGACATTGTCGGCAACCCTATCTCGCGCCTCCCCTCGTCGTTTGCACAGCTCCAAAAACTACGTCACGTGGATCTCTCCTCCTGTGGACTGCGGTACATCAGCAATGAGTTTGGACCCCACCCTCAATGTGTGCTGCTCAATTTATCGTGGAACGGTCTCGACCATCTTCCGGCATCAGTCATCGGGCTCGTGTCCGTGCAAGAGCTTCGCGTCTCTTCCAACAACCTCTTATCGCTGCCCGACGCTGTGAGAGGCTGGACGTCGCTCGTGGCGTTCTATGCCGATCACAACCGACTGCGCTTATTGCCTGACGAGCTCGGTCAGTGGCGTCAACTCGAGGTTCTCGACTTGAGTCACAACAACATTATATCACTGCCGACAACCATTGGGTGCCTTGCCAAGCTGCACACACTTCGCATCCGCAACAACCGGCTATCGTCTCTCCCGCTCGAGTTGGGCGCACTCCGGAGCTTGTGCCACCTAAACCTGGCCCGCAATGGTCTTCGGGAGCTGCCCGTGCACGTGGGGTACTGCCACGCACTTTTAACCATTGACGTGAGTGAGAACGACCTCGAGACGCTCCCAGAGAGCGTCGGTATGTGGATGGCCCTCGAGTCGTGTGTACTGAGCCGCAATCGACTGCGATCGCCGCTGCCAGACACGATCGCCGACTGGGGGGCCCTCAAGTACCTGGATCTCTCGCATAACGCGCTTGCCCATGTCGACGCGGTGCTCTGCACGTTGCCCGTCGTCGAATGTCTCTTTCTCGGTGGCAACGAGCTGCAGTACCTTCCCGCCGAGGTGGCGCAGCTCACGAGTCTCCTGACGCTCGACGTGCACAACAATCGACTTCGCGCATTGCCCGTCGAGCTGAGTGCGCTGCTACCGACGCTCGAGGTACCTTGCGCAGTGTAGCAGTTTGTCATATTATATTAGGTGCTGCACGTCGCACAGAACCCGCTGTCGGCTCTGCCGGAGAAATGGTGCAGTCGGTGGCGGCTACAGGACGCGTACAGCGCGAGCTTTGCACACGGGTACTCGCCGGCCGAGGCCCTCGAGTGGGTCGCGGACCACGCCGTCTTCTATCCGTCTGTACTCCGCATTTGGCACGAGCATAGCGCGGCGATTCTGGATCACGGCTTCTCAGTCACTGCGTTTGTCAGTGCAGTGCAAGACGATGTTGGTGCGCCATGGCAGCTGCGGTTCGCCAAGCCGGTCAAAGCTGCTTTCTTCGAGTTCAAGTACCTCGGGCACCCTGTCCTCGTCGATGACGTCCCGGAGAATGTCAGGAAGGAGGAAGCGGTTCAAGAGGAGCGGCTTGAAGAGCAGCGCATCGAGCGCGGCGTCGCGGCGCGGTTGACCGATGAAGCGCACCGCGCCGACGTGGCGGCCAAGTACTCTGTGGACATGGCAGCGGCTTTGGACAAAAGTCGCCGCCGCCGCGACGCCTACGAGCGCAGGCTTCTATACGAAGAGCATGTCCAAGCCGCCGCGCTGCAGACGCTCGTGCGCGAGAAGATCGTCACGGCCAACGGGCTCGAAGCAACGTCGCGTGCGAGAAAGCGCGCTGTGTTTGCGTCCGAAATGGTTCAGAAGGCTCTAGACCAGGAAAAAGCCCTTGGTCGCGCATATACACAGCCGCGGGCGCAAGCCAAGTGGGCCGTGTACCATCGGATGGGCCAGTTCTTCCCTGATGATGATGGCGACGACGACGACATTGAGGTCCTCGACGCGCGCGTCGAAACCGACGACCCGTCTTAATGCAATCACGTTGTCAAGTTTGCCAGGCAATATGCGCGCTGATGTTGTGCCACGTGCACGTCGCCTCGTGTTCCGGTTTGCAGGTGGCAGCGAGCAGCGAGCAGCATTTTAATTTAAAATCCGTGTGCGTGAATTAAAATGTTTCATCCACGCGCACAGATTTTTATCCAATCAAAAGCGACCATGTAATCCTTACGCTGCCCGTCGTTGAAAAACGTCCTCGGATGGCAGCAGCGCGGTCGTGGGGCGCTCCGGCTTCAGTGGGCGTCGCAGTCGCCGTCTTCGTCGTCTTCTCCGCGCTCTTCTTCGCGGATCTCCATGCAACGTCGCGTCTCCAGAACTCGTGTGGCATGACGTACTCTTCACCCGTCTTCACGGCGCTGCCGATGCCAGCGGCCACGGACGCCGCCATGCAGCACACGCACGCCAAGTACACCTTCTCAATGCTGCACGTGGCTGATGACGCTCGCCTTGGACAAAAGCTCTTTAGCGGCGTACCACTGCTCTTTGTACCCGGGCACCTCGCCAGCTACAAGCAGGCGCGGTCGTACGGGCAGCACTTTCATGAGCTCTACCGCAGCCACGGCGACATCAAGGCTGGTATCGACTTTTTTCTCGTGGACTTTAACGAAGAGGCAACGGGCTTTACGGGGCACTTCATGGCCGAGCAAGGCTACTTTATCAACGAAGCCATCAAGGCGATCCTGGCACAGTATGCCCATCTCGATGCTACGCTGCGCCCGACGTCTGTGATCGTTCTTGCGCACTCAATGGGCGGCATTGCCGTGCGCACGGCGATGACGCTACCCAACTACATGCCGAACTCGATCTTGACCATGGTGACGCTCTCGACGCCACACATGCAACCGCCGTTTCCGCTGGACAGCAAGATGGCAGGCGTGTACGCCTCGGTGAACAGCGCGTGGCGCGCATTCGCGAATTCTTGCAACGAGTCGGCGTGCACCAACCCGGTCTTTGAAGACGTCGTCGTTGTCTCGATCGCGGGCGGACACAAGGACTTTGTGATCCACTCGTCGCTGGCGTCGCTCGAGTCTCTTCTGCCGCCGACGCATGGCCTCGCCCTCCTCACGTCCGCGATGCCGTCCGTGCAAACTTCCATGGATCATCTGTGTCTTTTGTGGTGCCATGAGCTGCTGCAGACGATCACATCAGCTCTCAATGCCCTCATCGACCCGACGGCTCGCCGTATTGTCGCTCGTCGCGAGGTGCGATACGGCTTTTGCACCGATCGCTTCTCAACGAGTCGCCGCCGTCCTTGACCGTGCCGGGGTTTGCCACGTCTGAGCGCGATCTGTACCCGATCTGGACACCTCTCGTACTTTCAGACTTGAGCCGAACCCACTACATTCTCGTCTTCCCAGTGCTCTTTGGCATCTCGGTCGCGATCTTGGCCACGCAACTCGAGCGCTGGCAGCTACAAATCGCTGACACCGCGACCTTTACCGCGCTTCTCGCGCCGACGCAGCACTGGCGCTATCCTCTCGAGCATGCCAGGGCTATGGACTTGCCATCGCCAGCCGTTGGCGCGGGTCTCGTCGCCGCGATGCTCGGTCTCTACTACGTGGACGCGATTGAAAGCGTTCTGTGCTACAGCTACGTCTACTTGTACGTGGTGGGATGCGTCTTCTGCCTATCGCATTCGCTTGGCCGCGTCCTCCGCCCGTTCACGTACTCGGCTGCGCGCTGCAGCACGCTTTTTACGCCGTCCGTTCTTGGTACGGCAGTGATCATGATCGTCTTCGGCACCGCCCACGGCGTGTACGGCTTGCCACTCGATGCCTCCCGGGAGCTAGCGCTTGCTTGCCTCAGCACGCTTGGTACACATGTACTGACGTGGATCTCGCTGCTGCTGCTGCCGAGCCGGTCGCCCGGGCTCGCTGCGTATCAAGCGACGGTATTTTCTGTCTACGCCGCCGTGTTCCCTTGCTGGCTCGGCGATGCGGTATACTTTGTCGATGTCGTCCGGTTCCCGCGCGCGATCGAGCTCAATTTTCTGAGCACTGTCGTGTGGTTTATGCTGCTGCTGGGCCCGTGTTTACGCCACGTGCTCCTCGCCCGCAAGTACTACTTTCCACTGCCCCCCGCTGCGATGTTTGGCCGCATGCACGGAGCGACGCTCGAGACGCCGACGACATCGACGCCCGACGCTTGCAGCAGTTGCTTTGTCGAAGACGGCGGCGTCGGCGCCGTCTTTATTCAAGCGACGACGTCCGAGACGGTGCGCATCGGTAGTGTCGTCGTCGGCCCGACGTTCCGCGTCGTGGCGTGCGACTGCGGCGTCCGTTTCTCGAGCAGCGTCGACTACTGCGACTTTTGCCGTCGCGTGTGCACCGAGTGCGGTGGTGGCGAGGTCGCACGCCAGGAGCGCCGCCACTTCCGCGAGTACATGCACATGATGCACGAAACAGTCGTCGCGCATCGCAGCGTGAGCTCGCTTCTTTGGCTGGTCCTCTTTGGCGGCCTCGGGCTTGCAAACATCACGCGCAGCGCCCACTACATCGTGTACCTCGGGGCTTGCGTTGGTGTCGTCGCGAGTGTCTATCACACTGGCCTTCGCGGCGCGCTAGACGTCGAGGACGGGCTCGCCGTAACGCCCAAGACGGCCGAGCCGCTCATGCACGAAGTGCAAACGCCCAAGAAGAAGAAGAAGGTCACGAAGACCACATAATAGAGTATTGATATAACGTTACGGTAAGGAAAGCGTGGTATGTCAAGAACGTGGGATTATGCATGCGCTTGTTGCAACGACGTTTGGAGTCGGACAATCGCGTTGGCGCTGTCCACAACCACATTGCTCGCGCCCCACGCCGACCAGTACAACGAAAGCTCGTCGTCTTCACTGCGTTTGCGTCGTACTCGAGCGGGTCGAGACCGCCGAGGATGCAGAGGGCGCTGCCGAGAAGCGAGCTCCAACCGACAGTGCTGTACAGACTCGCCGTTGTCGAGTAGACGTACGAGAGGCATGCGACCCAGCATGTGACTTCGAGAAGGGATCGTTGAAAGTGGACCTGCCAGTTCTTGGGGATACGCGTCCAGCGTGCTTGGACTGTGAGTCCAAGTCGCCGAGTTGGGAGCCAGAGGCAAAAAACCTCGCCCATGAGAACGTAAGCCACGCCCATCGTAGCAGTGAGGATAGCAAACGACTGGATGTTCTCGGAAGTACTCAGGTACAATTGATGCACAGTCTCGAGCGCCATAGCGCCGAAGACGACGTTCTTGATCGCGACGGCTTCGTCGTTGCCAGCGCTAGACGGCCGCTTGTGCGTGGCGACATCAAAGCCCGCCCGCTGCAGGAGCAAACGAGCGTCGGGATGTGCGACGATCCGGTGCAAGAGCAAACGAGCCCCGGTGATACATACTTCATCGCAGATCGACATGACGAGGCCAAAGAGGAAGCCAATCTGAGCGGCCCAGAGCCAGTCGCGGTGTAAGCTGTATGCGACGCCGGTGACGCTGGTCCAGCTTAGTACCTCGAGAAACGAGCGCAGCGTCTCGGTCTTCCAGTTGAATCGGCAGTACGTCACGCGACGCACCAAGGACGAGGCAACTTGAACGGTCACCTGCACGGGCAGGCTCGACGTGAAGGCCAACGTCGGGTCCTTGGGCACGTCCGGGATCCAGTCGGCCAAGAAAGCGCTGTTGTCCATGATGTCTCGGCCGCGCGGGTCCGGGTACAGGATATCGTATTCGTCGGCACTGTCGTGCTCGCTACTAGAGTCCTCCATGGCGCCACGGGCGGCGGGGGTCCGCGGCTCGTCCTCGGCAGCAGTGTCCACGGGGCGCAGAGAGCTCATGGCAAATCTCGAAATGGAACTCGCTTTCTTCTTCAACCTTCGGGAATTTTTGGATCTCCTTGTTTTTGCTTCTCAATCTCAAGGTGGCGCCATCGGTACCTTGCTTTTTGTATGCGACAGCTCAAACTCAAAGCAATACGGTGCCACTTGCCATGTCGTGACTTGTTCCAGCTGTTTAGGGGTACCGGTACGGTGTAAATGTGTTTCGGGTACATCAAAATGCCAAACTTGGTCGTAGTATTGAACTGTAAAAAAGTAGGGCCGGTAGAGGACATCAAAATAGTCCATGGGGGGACAGGGGCTAAAATCAAGTAAAATCACGCAGCTTCAAGCTGAGGGCGGCTTGATTGTGCGATGGCAATGGCCGCCATGTCGCGCAAACGAATCGCGACGAGTTCTTGCTGAGAAAATGGCGGCATTCGATCGTGGCGGCTTCTCACCAGCGTTCGCGTCAGGTTCTGGTATCGCACCTCACGTTTTGTTCTCGTACAGTAGTGCCCCATACTTCAACTTTACCTTCGGCGGAGTGATTTGACAAACCAACAGAGCATTCACCACCGCTAGGCATTGCTTTGTGTCACCGCCTGGCTACAGTAGCATTTGGACAACGGTTCTGATCTTTTTAACAAGGCTGGAAGGCGTCGAGAGAAGCCTCATTCTTGCGCCAGCCAGACGAGGTCTTCTTGCGAGCGGCCTTTTGGATAGTGGCCAACAGGAGAATGCTCTCCCGCGCCAAACATTTAAATCGCCCATCCGTTTTTGGCGGCAAGGACATTAAAATATCACCAAGTTGTTGTATGCAGGGTGGCAAGGTCTTTTTATAAACACATTTTGGGATTGGACGCGAGGCATGGCCATCTTGGACCGCTTCCGCGACGTTGACGTCGCCAACATGGAAGAGTGCGTGGCGCTGCATGAGGTGCGCCGCTTCTTCGTCCGTGCTGGCATCTACCTCGCGACAGATGAAACCCTACGCCAAGCTCGCGCCTGTTTGGTCGCGCACGTATGCAAACTGCAGCCGCTGGCGCAAGCCGCCATGGAGAGCGACCACCGCATGCGCTTCATGGCCAAAGACATCCGTGCTGCCATCCGCTGCATTGATCCTCGAATGACCATCTACGGTTTTGACGCTGGTGAAGACAAGCCTGAGAAGAGCACGGCCGATGTGGACGACGGCGACAACAACGGCGGCGACGAAAGCGCTTCAGGGAGCGACGATGGTAGCGACGACGACAGCGACGAAGATGAAGAAACCGACCGCCAAGTAGAAGAGGCACTTGGCCAAGACGAAGCCTTTGGCGACGGGGACTTCTCGGACGGCGAAGAGGCAGGTGACGAACTGAATGCCGCTGCCTTCGCCGCTGAAGATGCCATGTGGGTCAACGAAGAGGGAATCCTTCGTATCAGCGAAAATGATGCCTACATTGTCAGTACGACGGAGCAGGAGAGCCCGTACTTGCTCCCTCGCTCTGCGGTACTACGCATCTGGTCGATCGCGACGAACCTCCCGATCTTGCCGGCAGCTCTCAGCGCACTTCATAGCGCCATGGAGCACTTCCTTTTCAAGGAAATGGCAGACGGCAAGCTCGGCAGCGACATGGCATGCACGATTCTTCAGGGCTTGATCATGGAGCAAGCGAGCACCGTTGACTCCCTCGAAGCCCAAGTTGCTTCGCAGGCCTCGGAGCTGCAGGGACGCGTGTCCACGATCGAGAAGCTCCGGAAGCAACTGACCGAACGCAACGTCCCGCGCAAGAGCTTGGCGCTCACGGATGCCAATGTTGGTAGCAGCCTGATCAAGGACAAGTTGTCCACACCGCGCAAGCGCCTCAGTAGCGACATGCTCCAGGAAAACCAGGTCCCAACGCCGCAAGCACTCCGCTACACGCGATCGTCACACCACCGATAAGCTGGTCATTGTTGCTTTGAGCAAGATCAAGCACGAATGCATTCTTCTTCCATGTACCATAAATTTGAGTCGGATCATCTTGCAAGCTCGGATACACAGGGCTTAGATACTAGTGAGCATAGTTTGGACATGCGATGCAGGCATTTCTTGCGCGCCACTTGTCGCCTCTGATGCGCGGATCGTCGCGACTTCGTTGCACAAATGCACGAAGTTGCGCAGGTGTTGGAAGAAGCCGTCGCCAAAAGCGCTACATGTGTCCTTGAGTCACCTTGAGCAGGTAGGGATGTACCTTAAGAACACTTCGATATTGTTGTGCCCCGCATCGTGGACCCAAAGCGGTTTCGATCGCCACGCGGGGTTGCATGCCAAAAAGAGCTCCTGCGCATAACGATGACTCGAAGTCGTGCATTAGCCTTGTCATCTACCTCGCCGTGCCAGAACGGGATGACCTCGTCCCGCGTGCCGTGGATGATTGTGATGGGTGACGCAATCTCGGGTGCGCGATCAATATTGCAAAACATGTCGCCTGGGAGCGAGAACCGGAACTGGAACGCAACGCGGTAGATGGAGAGAAGTGGGCTCTAGGATGCCCACTACGATGAGCCGACCTCGCAGAAGCGCGGCCTTACCTGCAAAATGACACCCGCGACAGGTTGCTTCAGCTTGGACTGCTTGGCCGCGAGGTATGTTGTGGGTCCTGTGCCAAGCGACCGGCCGTATCTAGACCTCATTACGTCCTGGTCAATGACACATGGTGGAGTGCGCACAATAGTATAAGGTGCGGAGGTGTCTTCTTGACGTCAACGAGGTACGCAAACGCGGCTTCAATGTCGGCAATGCATGCATCCTCTGACGGCTCGCCGACGCTAATGCCATACCCGGTGTAGTCGAATGCCATGACGTTGACCTGCAATACATGAGATCTTTGTGATTGCTACAGTCCAGACCTGCAGACGGCGGCTCACTTCGCGAAACCACTCGTAGATCATGCCAAGGTCCTCAGCATTGCCGTGGGCAAAGAGCAGCGTGTACTTCGCGCGCCTTTCAAGTACCATGAGCCTCCATGGGTCGCCCTACAGCCTCAAGACGCACTCATTCTTGATGTAAAAGGACGCGATGCGGTTGTGCAGTGCCGTCGCTAGCATCGTGTAGCGGCGACAGCTCGTGTATGTCGCTGGCGGCGGCTGGAACACGAGCTGGCTAATCAGTGCGCCCATGCTCAACGAAGATGTATCTGCCAGTAACTGTACACTAGCCCGTACTTACTTGGAGCCCGGGTGCTGTCGACGTGTATATGAAGCACCGGTGCGGTGCGTCCACGCACTTAATCGAGTGACCAAGTTCAACAGCACTTCATTTCCTTCATCTACAATTGTACTCACCTCTCAACACAGCATACCTTTCAAACGAGCGCAAAAGAACAGGGCTAAGATCTCTCTATGGATCCTTTAAAAACGGTGTTGTACACGCTGCCAAGCACGACGACGGCGGGACCATAAGCCGCTGTAGCGTCGTTGCGTTTGGCTGCTACAGCGCGTACACCGTTGCTACACGTACATACATTCTTCAGGGTATAAATGAAACACAACTCGACGTGCAAGCTATTCGAGCATTGAAAAGGGCGATGATGATACGATACCAAACGACCAGCATGTAGGATTTACACCAGAGGTCCATCGGGTTTCCATTGTAGCGGTGTAGGTGCGTATTTTCACCTTCCTGCGCTGCGCCGCAGGGATCACTTCTCGGTAAATGACGGTAAATGACAATACATGACATGACGACCCACTTCAACAACAACAACATGACATGTTTCATTTTAAAGCATACTAGTACATGTTATTCAGCTAGCTGAGGCCTACTCAACATCTTGACCAATACGGCGCTTGCGCTCGGTTTCACTATCGAGAGCTAATCATGTTTGCGTCTTGGTGCACGGCAGCTCGTTGTGAACTATTGAGATGCTCTCTTGGCTCATGCGGCGAATGTGCCCAGCCTCCATCGGATCGACAACGCCCTTCTTGGATAGCGTTGGTGCAAGCTCGCCGTGGACCTACATCCGCGCATCGTAAGGATTCATGCTGCGATCGACATGGAATTACCCGAGTTAGCCGATCAGCACTGACGCGGCGCGATCGCTCGGTTTCAACGAGCTTCGTCACGTCCTTGATCGATTTTGCCCGCAGCATTTGCTTGTGCACCTACGACAAAGCGATTCGTTTTGCGAGGATTGTCAACACCACAAGTATTCATTCACTTCTGTCAAGGTGTCTTGGCAAATGCGTCGTTGACGTTCGGCCTCCATGACAGTCACCGCGTATTCGATGTTGATTTCACGAACGATAGCGGCTTGGTCGTCCTCGTCCTTGTGCTCATCGAGGCGGCGCTGTCGCTCACCTTCGGCCGCCCGCTCGGCCCTATGTAAGCTATTGCGTACATACGATTAGCTTAAGCCACACGCCGTACATGTTCTTGTTCGCTAGACGGAGAGAGAGCTCTTCGGACTCGGGGTAAATTGGGCCCACAGTATCAGCTGCACGGATATCCATCGTTCGCTCCACTTGTGACTGGACTGCTTTGCCTGCAATACAACGTTGAAACTGCCCAACAACTACCCTTCATCAACGAAATGGCTCGGGATTTAGATATTGGAACAATTATACACGCTGCTTGCGTTTCTTGGTCGCGGTCTTGCTCTTCGTGTGCACCGCCTTGGTCTTCTCCGGGGCAGCAAAGAGAGGAAGGAAGAGCGGGAGGACTTCAGTAGTTTCGTCGATCTCGACTGGTGAGCCCTGGATGGTAAATGGGATGCTCGGGAACGCGCTACACAACGCATACATCATCCTCAGCAAGTAATGCGCATGACGTCGATAAATACCGGAGAAGCGTGTGGAGAGCATATGCGACGGACAAGCACTCTTCGGCAATCGAGCGTTGCGACACGTCATGGCCGTTCGATTTAAGCAGTGTATCAATGGCTTCTGCGGCCGCCTCGGGGTCTTCGACTTGCAGCTCAACGAGCTCGACAAAGTTGTGCACGAGCATTGGCGTTTCGCTTAAATAAGTGGCCTTCGTGAGGTTGAAGGCGTTGGTGGCTGCGTCGAATGCGCCGAGGATTGCGACTTCGTCCGACTCGGGAGACTTGTTGAACTTCTGAACAAGCTCCAACACCTCTTCCTTCTGCGCTTGGGTCGCACACATAAGCATGAGCAGGTCCAGGCCACGAGCGACATGTGCCGTCTTGCCGACCGTCGCCTTCGAATGCGTCGGCTGGAACTTGGGCATCGGCTGCGGCGCAAGCTTGGGGGCCAGCTCTGAAAGTCGCTGCTGGAGCTGCGCAATGCCAGCGATCGGAGTCGTCGCCATGGTGTCGCGAGCGCGGGACGGCAAATGAGCTCAATTTGGTTGGCTTGGAATCCCAATCGGATCTTATCCGGATAATGTCCGTCCGGTTCGGCCAGATTCTATTTGAAGCCTGGAATTAGGCAAACCGGAGAAACGTGAAACGGTCAACAGCCCGTTCGGACATTTCGAGATTTTCATTGCAATGGAGACTCGCCCCGCGGACCGCACGTCGGACGTGACCCCGTACCCTGTGCCGGAGGAGGCCGAAGATATCTGCCGCAACACGAAAATGTACCACCACGCTGCATGGCAGACGGTCGCTCAGGGTGTGTGATAGCGTGAAGATGGCGGCCGAGGAAGAGCGTTCTCGACGCGTCCAAGAGCATGCGGCTAGCGACGTAGGTTTGTTGATCTACCTACGCGAAATGAACACGTTGCACGTAGCAAGAGACCAAGATCCTGCGCGAAATCAATATCGAGTACGCCGTGGCAGCGATGGAGACGGAACGCATCCGGCGCGTGAGCCATCAGAACCTGGCCGAGGTAAGAGCCTCCGGGAAACGCTGCGGTATAGAACTCCAAGTAGGTTCACAGCGAAATGATCCGAGAGACCTCGAAGAACGAAGTCGTCCTGTTGATGGAAGAAGAGCGTTGCCGCCGTATGAGCGAAGATAACCTCGCTCGGGTACGACGTCTGAAAACGAGAACACAAAGCCTATTTAGAACCAGGTGCACGGTGAAATGCACCGCAAAAGCGCCAAAAAAGAAGCCGTGCACCTCATGGAAGTGGAGCGTGCGCGTCGCGTCAGCCACGAGCAAATGGCGCAGGTGAGATGCTCTACATTTCGAATGTTCGATCAAGTTGAAATGACAGGTGCACAATGAAATGCATCGGGCGCAATCCAAGAAAGAGGTCGTGATTGCTTCGGAGACGGAGCGTGTCCGGCGCGTGAGTCAAAGTAACGTGGCAGAGGTATAGTTAGACCTTGCGCAACTTGACATTACACCACTTTATGCCAGTTGCAATCCCGTTTGGATCGACGCAAGTCTATTGGGGACGCAATTCAACTAGCTGAAGCTGAGCGAACACGTCGAGTCAAGGTATTGTGCAGCTGTCGTTCGTTGTTATATACATTGCAACAAGGAGCATGGCGATCAAAAGCTGGAAGATCACGTGACGCGTATGACGGAGCAGTCCAACGCTGTCAACTTGATGGAGCTCGAGCGCGTGCGTCGCATGAATGATGCATCTAAGGCAGCAAGCTCTTCGTTTTTGTATTCCGCTGAAGCCTCGCGCGAAGTCACCGAGTTCACGGAGCCGATGGCCTTTGTTACAAGTGCAGCCCCCGTGTCTCCAACAACATCGCCACCAAAGCCGATCCCGACGGTCCTGCCGGAGCTTCCTGTCGCCTCTGTGAATCCAGAGCAAGAGAAGCAGTCTCTCTACGGTATATCAAGCTTTTCAGCGAACACCGTCGCCAATCACACTTTTGCAGAGCTTCAAAATCGCCTGAGAGACGATCTGCCCCCATGTGGACCCGAGGCCGACGCGATGCGGAATGTGCGTCTGTTGCGCTTCCTTCGTGGACACAAAGGCAATGTGACCGTGGTATGTTTGTACGTATACAACGAGTGGCATACCTTGCATTCTTAGGCTGCCGAGCGCTACTCTGCCATGCTTGCATTGAGACAAAAGCACGGCATGGACCAAATTCGAGACAACATCGTACTTGGCAACATGACCGTCGTCGACTTTCCCTACTATGAAAAGATCAAGTTGGTATTATTGCATATATTCACGAGGGCCAAGTGTGGTTGTCTTTGTAGGCGCTACATGCCCGCAGTGGCGGCCTATGACGTCATGGACCACAGTCACAACGTGTATTGCTTCGAGAAAATTGGTGCCTACGACATTTACGGGCTCATGGTGAACGTCTCGGACGAAGAGTGGCTTGCTTACTCGCTCCATGAAATGGAACACCGAGCTCTGACACTGGACAAGCTCAGCGTACAGCACCGGACGATGGTCCGCTGCAACGTGATTCGAGACCTCGATGGATTCTCGCTCACGCGCATTTCACGCCCTGCACTGAACCGCGTGCAGAACATGGTATCCCTTGCGTCGGCGTGCTACCCCGAAATGGTGCAAAGGACTCTTTTTATCAACACTCCGGTGAGATAGACATCGCTTCTAGTTTGGTTCTACAGTATGTACGTTACTCTCCGTAGTGGGTGTTCCAAACTGTCTGGAAGGGTATCAAGCTCTGGCTAAACGACACCCAGCGCGAAAAATCGGGTTTCTTAAGCGCGGCGAAAAAGAACAGCTATACAACGTATGCCCTCCGGAGAAGCTGCCCGAGCTCTTGGGTGGGAAGCCAATCATTGTCATGGAGAGAGACTTATCACTTGTAGGTGGCACGAACACCAGTGTGGTCGTGCCTTCTTCGGGACTCCTCGGTAAAGACTCGTATGGAACGCTTCGCGAAAATGGCGCGACAGAAGCAGAGATTCGCGCCCGCGGCGTGCTCCAAGTCCCATTTCGAGTCAACGCCAACGACACGGTGTGCTGGGAGTTTTCCGTGTTTGCATACGATGTGGACTTCACGATCAAGTTTCGGACGCAAGGCGACGGTGGCGCCGAAGAACACACGGTTGATGGCTGGGACAAGACTCGGTTCGTCTACGGCCAAGTCGAAGCAGGGTCGTGGACGGCTCCCGGCGCAGGCGTCGCTGTGCTCTGCTGGGATAACACCTTCTCGTGGACGCGTGCAAAGACCATTTGCTACAAAGCCAGTGTCGCGAGGGGCGCGGATGACGCTGACGCTATCGACATTAGCGGTCATCACTCACTCTAAGCACAGGCCTCCCAGGTCTTAGCGCGAGACAACCACTATGCACTATTAACATGCGTTGGTCGTTTTCATTTTCGACGAGATATTTGAGTAAGCTTAATAGGAACCGCGCATTCGTACACCGACATCAGGTAAGTCTGGTCCTTATTTCAAATCAGGTTAGACAGCACCAGCTCGATGGCCGTGCGAAACGCAAGATTTTCGGCTGACGAGTGATCGACGCCATTTTAGCGTCTTCACCTGAAAGTTTGCATTAAGCATTAACGTTAGCGTCAATGTGAGTATACCAGAATGTACATGTGTCATCATCCAGCTCGCTTATTTTGTCGCTCTGATGTGCCCCGTCCTCCAAGCCTTTCGCAAACTCGTGTGGTGGCGGGTCCGCAAGACGATCGCGGTGGCCGATCCCTCCCGCATTTGGCGCATTCTTGTGGTTCCAGCACCAAGAGCATGGCCTTGCCACTTAGTCTCAAGTTGAAGCATACAAAAGAGCACCAGATTGCATGAAAATACAAGAGCCTAAAAGCACTTCATTTTGCATCTATTGAGGGACCTCATCTGGTTGCATAAATAATCTTTTGTGTAGTGTTTGTAGCCGCTTTGTACACGTCAGGTGCATTTTGGCGGTTTTAAGCACCTGATTGGTGTGCGCAATCGACTGGAAATGACAAAAAGTGCCGGGCCACGCATTTTTGGATTTCGAAGCATTTTGGCCAATGAGGTTCGATACCTGAGATTTTGAGCAGCAGCTTATTTCAGGAAATCCCGTCCAGTCGACACGATGAGCTCTGAAGCCGCTGCCACTGCCATCCCACCGCCTGCCGGCGAGGAAAAGCTCAGCAAGAATGAGCTCAAGCGCCGCGAAAAGGCCGCCAAGGCCGCTGCTGCCAAGGCCGAGAAGGAAGCTGCCAAGGCCGCTAAGGCGCCTACGGCTGCCAAGAAGGCGACGGCCGATGCGGACGACGAGTTGGACCCGACCGCGTACTTCGATAACCGCACGAAACTCCTCGCCGAGCTTGAAGCCGATGGCATCAACCCTTATCCCCACAAGTTCGAAGTCACGTCTTCCGTCCCGGACTTCGTCGCCAAGTACCACGGCTGTGAGGCCGGCGCACACATTGCCACTGAGCTCGTGTCCGTCGCCGGTCGTCTGATGAGCAAGCGTGCGAGTGGTGCCAAGCTTCACTTTTACGGTCTCAACGCGGACGGTGCCAGCATCCAGGTCATGTCGAGCATTGACACGTATGTGAACGCGGAAGCTTACGCCCGCATCCACGCGTCGCTTCGCCGCGGTGATCTTGTTGGCATCACGGGCTTCCCGGGCAAGTCCAAGAAGGGCGAGCTCTCGATCTTCCCGCAGTCGATCGTGCTCCTCTCGCCGTGCATGCACATGCTGCCGAAGGCCCATTACGGGCTCTCAAACCAGGACACTCGCTTCCGCCAGCGGTACTTGATTATTTCTCGATGACATTTATTGACTCTCTCGTAGCTACTTGGATTTGATCCTGAACGACGAAACCCGCAAGGTCTTCACGACGCGCGCCAAGGTCATCAACTACATCCGTCGCTTCCTTGATGCTCGCCAATTCCTCGAAGTCGAGACGCCAATGATGAACATGATCGTCGGTGGTGCGACGGCCAAGCCGTTTGTGACGTACCACAACGACTTGCACATGAACCTCTTCATGCGCGTCGCTCCGGAGCTCTACTTGAAGCAACTCATCATCGGTGGTCTCGACCGCGTGTACGAGATCGGCCGCCAGTTCCGCAACGAAGGCATCGACTTGACGCACAACCCGGAATTCACGAGCTGCGAGTTCTACCAGGCGTACGCTGACTACAACGATCTCATGGACATGACCGAGAAGATGTTCTCCGGCATGGTTCAGGAGATCACTGGCGGTCAAACGATCACGATCGAGAAGGATGGCGAAGAGATCACGATCGATTTCTCGCCGCCGTACAAGCGCATCTCGATGGTCAGCGCCATCGAGGAGGCCACCGGTACCAAGATCCCGATCAACGAGCCCGAAAAGTGCGTCGCTGTCCTCGAGACGCTCGTCAAGAAGTACGACCTCGACTGCGCTCCGCCGCGATCGCTTGCCCGTCTCCTCGACAAGCTCGTGGCGCACTTCATCGAAGACAACCGCGTACGTCTCGCATTTGTCTATCAATGGTGTCTCACTATTGGGCACTAGGAAAACTGGAAGAAGCCATTCTTTATCATGGACCACCCGACGGTCATGAGCCCGCTCGCCAAGTACCACCGGTCGATGCCCGGCCTCACGGAGCGCTTTGAAATGTTCTTCGCCGGCTCGGAAATCTGTAACGCGTACACGGAGCTCAACAACCCAGTGTGCGTTCCCACCATATATATATCTCCTCTATCCTCATACTTGTTTTTCATGCTCGTAGGGTTCAGCGCGAACGGTTCGTGGAGCAGATGGGCCAAGCCGCGGCTGGCGATGACGAAGCTCAACCCCACGACGAGTCGTTCTGCACAGCTATGGAGTACGGCCTTCCGCCGACGGGTGGCTGGGGCTGCGGCGTCGACCGCATTGCCATGTTCTTGACCAACAAGTTCAACATCAAGGAAGTGCTGCTGTTCCCGGCCATGAAGCCGGACGAGCAGGTCGCCAAGCCTGCGTCGGGCGCGATCACGACGGCCAACTTTACGATTGAAGCTGTCGAGGCCAAGCTCCAGGGCGCGCAAACGAACTTTTTGAACGGCGCCAAGCCTTCCAAGGAAGACGCAGTTGTGTTCGAGCGCGTCAAGGTTATCGGCAAGGACATTCTTGCCAAGTATCCGTTCACGCAGGCGTGGGTCGAGCTCGTTTCGCTCTTTACGAACGAGTTGCGCAACAAGTGGTAAGCTGTCAGGTCCTGGAAGACGCGATGGGTACCAAGGCGACACGACGTAATGAACATCCGGCAAAGCTTTTTACATTCAAATCCAATATCGGAAGGCTTTGTTGGGGTCAGAGACTAGGTTCAAGTAGCTTTTATTTACCGTTGGTTGAGGTCGCTGGAATCGACGATTGTTGTGAGCCAACCTTTCTAACCACAGGGCATTGGGCGTCGAGTGTGTCGTGTACGTGTTGTGTTGAGTGTTGTGTTGGGTCTGCGTGATCCTAATCTTGGTCATTGAACATGTAGCGCTGTGCAACTGGTCGTGAAAACACTGGTGATCTTGCCGAGCCCTGCTTTTGTGCCGGCGATACTGTGACTGGCGCGGTCGTGGACCACGGTGTACACTTGAGATGGCGGCGGTGGCGTGGATGTATATTGTTGTCCTGACGGAAGTCTATGATTTCCTTACCGGTAGCAATGTCGATGTGTTCGTTGGCGAGGTACTTGTATTGTGTTCGTATCTTGTGTAGTACCTCATTCCATTTTTTGATGAGTTCTCGGGCCGCTTGTTCGTCGCGTAGGCGCTTATTCTGGTGTTGGTAAAGCGTGTTGAAAATGTATGCATCGTGGGCTCGTGGCCGATGACCTGGGCAGTACAACCCACGGTGGTAGAAGCATATCGGGCAAGGTTGTTGGCGGGGCTCTATGTGCTTTGCCTTCCATGCGGTCTTTAGTGTCCGCCGTAGCTGTCCACCGTGATCTTCTGTTCAGCGAGCGTCTCAGTAACCAAAGCTTCGTACTCTTCACGGAACTCGGGCTCAGAGCGCGTGAGCGTACCACCCGAAAAGCTCGCCATCAATCTTCCAAAAGAGTTCCGAGAATCGTGGATCTTCTAAATGCCTAGAGAATGCTAGGACGGCCTGGAGAGTCGCCGTCAGCTCAATCAATCTGTCGTCAGCTCAATCAATCTGTGGCAGTAGACGCCTCATACTGTGGATGAGCACTGGATATTTGTATTTGCACAGCTCTACAACCACTAGGTCGAGCGAGACGATGTGTTGGTATCAATCTATCAGTAAGTTAGTCCTACCGAGAAACCGTTAGGATGGGACTGAGTAGGAGCCTGTGGCCAGAGCTCCAGCAGTCAGTTAGCGTTAGTTCCCTGTTTGCCTGTTGGTACGCACGCCGGTGTTCGGGAGTACGGCCTTCCTTTGTCTGGCGTTCGGAGCAAGGCGGATATATATATGAACGTGTTTCGCGTCATCTTCGTTGTCACAAAGAGTTCGCATACGTAGAGACTAGCAATCTCCTTCTTCTTCATTCGTTCGCCGGGCCGTGGCTGCGCAGGCGGCGGCGCGGGGGCTCGTCTCGATCTTCTGTGGTCGTCCGGGGGCCGCGGGTGAGGGCCATGACGACTCGCTGTGTAAAGGCCTTCCAGGCTTTGTCGGCGGCGGCAAAGCTACGCAGTGTGTTGAGGTCTTCGAGAGACGCCAGCGACTGAGGCGGCGTCAACGACTGGAGGTCGCGGTGCAGGACGATCGGCAACGTGATCTTGGTGCGGCCCAAAAAACGGGGCGCTTCGGGAGCGGCAAAGAAGCGGGCGGCGGCAATGTTGGCAGGGACGTCTACACTCATGCATAGTACTGCTGGGCCACGTGCAAGGCGGATACGGTCACAAAGTGAACTTTAGCGACCAAGTTTCGCTCAAGATGCCACGACGGCTCCAGGACAAGCGGCGGTGGCGATGAGCGGCGTCGTTGTGCTCTAGCAGCTTGTGCACCCGGAGTTCAAGAGTATCGCCCTCCGCGATGTGGTCGAGTGGAAGCGGGCGCGCCTCGAGTATGAGACCTCCATGCGGTGGGATTGTCAACGAACGAGCCGGAGCTACGCAGCGACGTGTGTTCCGGTCTGCGATTCGTTCCCGTGGGTTTCTCAAGGTCCTGATGAAGACCAAGTGGGGCCTTTTAGACGACTGCAACTCGCTGGACGTACCCGAAGACAAGCTTTGGGAAGCTATCAGCGGCATCATCGACAAGGAGACGAACAAGACGTTACTGACGTACGGCAAGGTTTCACCTCGCTCGCCCTCGACCACAACAATGAAGATATCGAAGAGCGGGTCAACAGCTTTGTTTTCAAGGTCTCGCATATGATTGAAGAGCATGGCCTCACCGAGAAGCTCGAGAACGGCAAGCCCAAGGCCAAGGTCCTCGAGACGCTTGTCGAACGGATCCGTCCGCAAGAACGACAGACGGACGTGAAGCAGCTGATGGATGAAAAGATGGCGGTCAAGGAGCATGCTAACCTCAGGCACCTCGGAAAGATCTTCCTGAAGTGAGCGCTTCTCTGCAAGTCGTGGAGCCCCAAGACAAAGCACCTTCGCGACAAGAAGTCGTCCGACGACGAAGAAGAACAGCAGAGGCGCAAGTTCAAGCTGAAGGACACCAAGCCGTCAGTGCAGAAGGACAGCAAGGACGAAGGGAAGGAACGTCCGTGCTGGCACTGCAGCAGCAAGAAGCACAAATAGCGAGACTGCCCGAGTGCGAACGCAAAACAGAAAGAAGCTGCCATCAAACAAAACTGGAAAGGCGGTAATCGCGGCGGCGGCGGCAGCGAGCAAGGCGGCAACGGTGGCGGCGACACAAAGAAGACCAAGCTGAGTCGCCTCAAAGCGTTCTCCCGACTCGGTCAGTTCCTCGCGGGAAGTGAAAATCACATGATTTTGACGCTCAACAGCGTTCTCGACTTGTCTTGTATGCCGGATAGTGGTTGCGGTCTGAACATCTTCCCGTCAAGATGGTTGAGCAGCTCAAGCAGAAGATGCCCGACCTTGAAGTCATCAACTTGAACCAACCTCAGCTTGGGGTGGCTGTGGGTAAGACGGCGTTGCAGCAGGACAAGAAGGTTCCGTTGCGTCTGCAGCTCCACACGGCTGCCGATCCCGTCCACATGCCTGGTTTGCACGCGTGCTACGTTGTCGACGAGGGCGACGAGTATCTGGTGTCGAACGACGTGCTGGTGATGCTCGGAATCGATCTCGAACGTCTCCTTGAGCAAGTTTCCTTCGGTCAGCCCGGATGACGGAAACGATCTTTGGCGTGAAGACAACGACCTCGAAGGCCTCGCTGTGGAGCTCAATACGATGCGGGTGGACGACACGCTTGACACGGACCGTCTCGATCAAGAAGAAGCTGCTGCAATGAGAGCATGCTGGCTCGCTCGATCTTGGAAGGCTTCCCTGCGGAGGGCTTTGAACGACTCGCGAAGATCGTCAAGATCTACGAGATTTGGCGCACAGTCTTTCGCGGCACGGACCCACCAGCAGACGTCGAGCCGATGGACATCAAGCTCATGATGGATGCGAGCCCGTGCAGCTGTAAGGGTCGCAAGCTCAACCCGTACCAGGAGCGCTTCTTCCATATGTTCGGTCGTCAACTTTAGCGGGATGGCGTGATCGAGAAGAACAACGGATCAGCGTTCTGCAGCCCGACCAACCCCGTGTCGAAGCCGGAGGGCACGGCCATCAGCAAGCCTTTCAATGAATGGTACGACGGAGACTGTTTGCGTTACTTTCGGCTTACGATCGACTACCGACGCGTCAAGCAATGACGGTGCCCATGGTGGCGTTCATGCCGTTCTCGTCGGTCATCATGGGCAAGCTCAAGGACGTGCAGCTCTTTGGCATCTTTGATTTGCTCAAGGGCTTCTGGCAGATGCCGCCGGCGAAGCGCTAGCGAAGCGGTGTCATGGGGTCCTTTCGTTTTGCTGGACACGCCCACCCGCGTCATGCAAGGACGTGTGGACTTGGCGTTGTTCTTCTGGAACACGATGGTAAACACGGCAGACGGGGAAGGGCTCCTCGACGTATGTTCGCTCGTCTCGATTGACGACGTTTTGGACTTTGCCAAGACCATCGACAACGTTCTTGACTCCTTTTATCGCTTTTTTGCGATGTGCCAGATGTACAACCTTAAGCTCAACCCCAACAAGTGTAAGCTCTACAAGGAGCTCAAATGGCGCGGTCGCTAGATCAGCGGCCAAGGTGTTCGCCAAGATGCGGAACGTATTGCTTCGTATGGAAGACTGCTCAGCGCAAGTCGAGCGTGATCGAGTAAGAGGCATGTCCGATCATCAAGGCATGCCTCAAATTTGAGTACCTTCTCATGCGGCCACGTGGATTCCGCATCTTCACCGACCGCAAGAACCATATTAATGCTTTTGCACCCGGCCGAGAATGGAAACCCGGTCAGCGTGGCAAGCTGGCGCGATGGGCCAGCTACATTACGCAATACCCCTACACGATCGAGCATATCAATGGCGAGCACAACGCCTGAACAGGCATGATTTCGCGATGGGGCCATGCGAAAGACAAGGCCGTGAAGCGTTCGCGGCCACAAGTTGCAGCCAAGGTGGAAGAAAATGAGCACGAGCAAGCCCGTTTGCTTCGTCTGATCAAGTCGAAGAAGAAGGGGAAGAAGACGTTGCCCAAGAGCGGAAGCTGCATCCTCTGGACGAGGAGTGTTTAAGTGGCCGAGGTTGTTCGACATCAAGGTTGCACAGAGACAAGACGCCGTACCGGACATGTCGGCCGACAAGGATGTCATATAAATCCCCAGTGACGCCTTGGCTTTGGAGCAGCGGCTCTTTACTGTTGCGCATTGTGGACCGATGGGCCACCGCAGCAAGTTTGCGATGAAGATGCATTTGAAGCGGCTCTTTAGACTTCATCAACTGGACGTCAAGCTGACGGCCTTCATGAATCAGTGCTTGCTTTGGCCTCACGTAAAGGGTGGGCGCGTGATTCAGCGCCCGCACAGCCAGATCTGGCATGCCAATCGTCCTAACGAAGGTATCCACTTTGACTTCCTCTATTTGGGTGACTCGTTCAAGGGATCCAAGTACGTGCTCGTGCTCAAAGACGACTTGACGCACTATTGCGAGCTCGTGGTGTGTCTCATGGCGGACGCGGCCTCGGTCGTGGACGCTTTGATGCACTGGGCTACGCGGTTTCGCTTGCCGCTCGTGTGGGCGTCGGACCAAGGCAGTCACTTCAAGAACCAAGTGGTTGCAGCGCTGGCTCAAGCCTACAAAGTCGATGACCAGTTTATTTGGACCTACAGCTGTGGCGCAATGGTACCGTCGGGCGCTTGAACCGCGATATTCTCCAAGTCTTACGGGTTATGCTGCGCAAGTACCAACTGAACCTTGAGCAGTAGGGGTATCTCTTACCGCTGGTTCAAGTCAACCTCAACCAGACGCCAGCCGAGTCGCTTGGTGGCGTGTGCCCGACGCAAGCTTTCACGGGGCATGTGCCTGCTACCATCTTGGACATTGTAGTCCGCTACTTCGATGGTGAGCTCGTCCGTCAAGAAGACTAGATAAAGCCTTATGTCGTCAGCACGATGGCTGCTGCTCATGCAAATCTGGTTGCCGTCCACAAGAAGATCGACGACCTGCCTCAACAGAGGGTGTGTGGCAGTAGACGCCTCATACAGTGGTTGAGCACTGGATATTTGTATCTGCACAGCTGTACAACCACTAGGTCGAGCGAGACACGGAGATGTGTTTGTATCATTCTATCAGTAAGATAGTCCTACCGAGAAACCGTTAGGATAGGACTGTATAGGAGCCCGTGGCCAGAGCTCCAGCAGTCAGTTAGTGTTAGTTCCCTGTTTGCCTGTTAGTACACACGCCGGTGTACTGCCTCCCTTTGCCTGGCGTTCGGAGCAAGGCGGATACGGTCATACCACGCACCATACCTCTGACCTCTTGTGCGGTAGCCATCACACGACAGCTACACCCCACTGGGAGACGGCTATCACAAGATAGCTTGCCGTTACAGGACAGCTGTAGACTCTACGATGACCCTCTCGCTCACAATATCACGAGTAAGTCATACACGTTGTGGACTTATGGCAATCTATTCAAATGTCCACCTTCTAGGGCGCCTTTCCGGGTTTGATCGAGCTGCGCTTCACAGCCTCCTTCCGCTGCGTACTCGTCTCCTTGGTACAATCGCGGAGCGTGTGCTTCTCTTCGCCGCAGCACCCTTGGCCTTCTGCCGCTTCTTGAACTCGCCAGGATCATCATCGTGGTCGGCCTCCTTCCGGACCTTAGCCTTTTTGGCGGCTTCCGCCATCTTCTTGCCGACGACGAAAGGATGATCTTCACCGACGGCGCGCTTTTTGCGTTTGGACTCGTCGTCCGAGTCGTTCTTGGGCTCGATTCTTGGCCAAGATGTCAAGTCCCTTCTTTTACACTTGTGTGAGCTTGAGATTTTTGGCTGGATTTGGGTGACGCCATTCCAAGGTCGCCCGCAGGGCCACGGCGCGCTCCGGCGTGCTGTGTGCTCTGTGTCTTACGTCCTTTGCTGTGTAAGTGCTGGTCGCTGGCAGCGGTCGGTGGTCGCGCCGATGGCGCCGCTCTTCGCGCGCTCGGCACTCAATGCCCCTCGACGATTCAGGCCCGTCGAGTCCCCGGCGGCCGTCAAGGAGATGAGACGTCGCTGGCCCTCCCGTGCTTTCGCCCCGCTGGCGCGGTCGCCCTGCCTCCACGGAGTCCCGT